CAAGCATAAAACTTATTCGTCAAATTACAGTATACAGTAAACCTATTTTTTTTTAAAGGCATTAACTTTTCAATTGATGATGGGAGTTTATAAGTCATAAAAACCGCCAGCTAAACTATTAAGTGGAAAAATCAAAAGTATCATATAAATAAATGTTCTTATTTCCGGGTTCAAAAGTATCACACGATTCCAATGGGATAGATTTGACGTGTGAAATGATTGTGAAAGCTGTGATAATTATTTGCTTATCTGGCGGGTATGACTTGCATTTTGGAAGGGAAGTTCAACACCATAGAGAATGGTGTGGATATTTCCTGCAATTGTCTTTTTTGCTTTCAGTTTTTTTTTATTGACGAGAAAGAAAATGTTTATCTGACTTTGTATATGAATGTCTAAATATATGTATACGAGCGTGCTTAATTTTCGTTAATTTCTTTTGAACAAACTTATTTTATATTCAATTAATTTCTTTTGAACTAACTTACTTTACTTTAACTTATATTCACAGTTCACTTGATAAATTACCAGTTTACTGCTCTAGTTGAGTGTATTTCTATGCTAACTTGTAATCACAGGGTCTTGTACAAGCCTTCGCTTTTTACCTAGATCCCTATAATATATTTGTTATCCTTTATATTCATTCTTGTAAATTATGTCTGATATGAAACTGCAGCAAAAAATAAACCAGTTTTTTGTATGTGTACAGATATGCAAAACACACTTCAAAGACGGCTGCCGAATGCAATTGATCTATTTAAAACGGATTTCATCAAGTCGTGTTCATAAAAGTCTCTATATAGTTTCTTTTTTATTCATAATTAAAAAATTTGAATAGTAATCATAATCTTATAATTTAAAAATTATTCTTATTTTTTGTTTCAACGAAGGTCAATCAAGAATGATTCCGCTGCAGAGATTACAACGTGCGATATCCACCCGCCTTCTGTATGTTGAACTATGGGTGGTGATATTTCAACTTGCAACGGTTCCAACTACACTACAGATTAACGGTTTGTATATTTTTCTCTAGGCAGACCTTTTTGAAGAATTCTTTTATTCGCTGGTCATGTGCCTTGCCGGAACAGGAAAAGGGGTGGGTGCGAATACTTACATGAGCTTGTACCGGCACTCATTATACATGTAGTACATTTACACATGTACATGGCTGTTTATGACTACAAACAACATAAAGGGGTAAAATGAGGGCAAACAATGTCATAAATGTATTCGTAAGTTAGCATGCACATAAATGACATAATGAGGTATTTTTACGTCCTTCTGCTGGAAAACTTCTTGACAATGATACTTGTGACTTCGAGTATAAGGGCACGGTGCGGGACACCATCTTTCGAAAGAGAAAAAGATAAAATAAAAAAAAAACCTTAAGCTTTATAGGGCCGACCTCAAATTTAAACAAACATTCTAGTTATCAATTATTAATACAAATTAATAATATAGGTTTTCCCGCTTAGTTTAATGGATTTGGCAGCCAAATGGATGACGAATCACCCGTTTTCGCACGAATTTGGACGCACGTTTAGATCAACATTCAATTAACTAAATGAATCGTTCAACTTAAATGTAAAAGCATGCGATCGCACTTTTCAACGATTCAATTTCAAAGATAATGCATTCAAGTTAAAATGTCATAGGCCTATTGGATCATTCAAATTCGCAGGAGCTTCATGTTGTGTCAGTTTGGGAATTCGAATTCGCCATTAAGCAAGCATTTTTGAAATGTGAGCAAAGGAATTCGAAACCGGTTCATGTAATTGTTTCTTTGTTCCAATTCGAAAATGCACTAAAAACTACCTGTATCTCACAAGATTGGGCTTCAAAGCAGCAGCCACAATCATGATTACCATATTGATCAGCACATGTTACTGGAATGAATCATGTTTTAAGATAAGGCTAATTGAGGAAAAGGTTAGAGATATAAGAAACTAACCCATATCGCAATTAAAATCTAGAAGATAAAAGAGTAAAAGGTAACAATTAAGAACGTATAACACAAAAAAAATATGTGAACACGATACACAGAGGGCAAAGGATCTCCTAGTTTAATGTTGCCTAAGATTATTGTTTATATGTCGACTTTCGTGTATGATGTTTAATTTTCTTGCATCACTAGTTTACACTTTTACTTGTTTAGATTAAAGACAGATAACAGACTAGAACTTTGAACATGAAGAGACTAAAATGAAACCAATAACAAAAGAACATGTGAAAAGTGAAAAAAAATTAAATCTCGCATCTTGCCTTCGTTTCCCATAATTTGAATGCAGAGAGTACTAAATTCAATACGCAGAGATGAAAACGAGAATAAGATTCTATAGTGCACATAATTTATCCCTAAACCAATCAGACTGCTAAATTGAATAACCAGTTAAACCGAATGACGTATCTTCAATTTAGGATGTGTTAAACACGAACATATCAGGTCTGACAACGAATTTGAACGTCTGAAAACTAATATGAATCACGGGAATGACAGCAAGGAGCTAATTCGCTTCAAATCGGCAACTTTCAAGATGAATTTGAATGCTATTTTTGCGAAATTGGCCTGGAAAACCTATAATACAAATTAACTACATATAACTGCTAAAACAAACGGAATACAAATATAGTTTTAGGAAAGTTTGAAATGTAAAACTTTGAAATGTCAAATTTTTAAGTTATTGAATTAACATCTTTTGCTATTTAGCGTTAAAAAATGGCAAAAATCGCAATAGGAATGACCTACATGTATTATGTTCGTAACATTAGCATTAATCTGATTTAATTTATGCGTTCTACTCATAGCTCCTGGCTATTTGGGATGCTACGAAGACTGTGAATCCTGGGTCTGTGATAAAGATGAACGTGTGCTGTCGGTCGGGCCAATGGAGAGCAACCAACAGTCTGTCGAGTGGTGCTTCAGTCACTGTCTGGATTCACAATCAATGAGCTACAAATACGCGGGACTTGAACACGCAGATCAATGCTTCTGTGGAAATAACGAAGACTACGACAGACATGGGAAAAAGGACGACTCTCAGTGTCAAGATACGTGCAAGGGAAACAGCGACCAGATCTGTGGAGACGGTCACCGGATCTCTATATACAGAAGTAAGTCATTACGAAAAAACAGAAATACACTGGAAGATTTTGTTGGATGTTTAAAGAAAGGATTTGAAGCAAGAAATGCAGTCTTTAACCAATACCTACCTGCCATTCATTTAACGTAAGCACATTTTGGCCATTCATACCATTTATGATCATTCATAATGTTGGTTTAAATACGGACTTTCAGAAACGCGCTGCATGGGCCTTTTATAAATCAACTTTTACTTAATTTGGCTATAGGAGCATGCCCAAATACATGCATCTCATTAAAATGACAACTATAGGCCTACATGTATTTATGTATCGACTGTATTTTCCTCTCAATATTTAACTATTTTCAGTATCGCAAGGAGTGTGCAGTAATGACATAGGACCACCCACCAACGGATCACACGTCATCACCAACCCGCGTTCACTGTCTTACAATCTCAACAACTTCAAGTTCTTCGGGACTCGTGTAGATTTCTCCTGTGACCCTGGATATATCCTCCATGGAGCATCAAGCATTAAATGCATTGAGACTGACTACAACGTCACGTGGAGTGACTTCGTGCCTACTTGCATCGAAAATTCCTCGACAACAATTTCACCGTTTAGTGAGAAATATTCCCACATTTTTTCAAGCACAGTACAGAAAAAAAACATTTCTAAGAAAACAATTTGTTATGTTCTTTCCTTCTTTTTTTTTTAATGGATCAGCCAATCATACTACTAGAGGTTTTCTGAAAGGTTGTGAGAAACAATTCTTAACCAAAATGATATTGGTAAACTAAGTGTAATAGTGTGTTAATTGAAAATGAAAATACATGTACATGTATTATCCTCCGGCTTTTCCCGCACACTGTAACGATGGTCACTTGGATCTGTAATCAAAAGTGAAACTACAGAGACTGAGATGTTATGTTGTTATGTTCTTTCCTTCTTCTTTTTTTAATGGATCAGCCAATCATACTACTAGAGGTTTTCTGAAAGGTTGTGAGAAACAATTCTTAACCAAAATGATATTGGTAAACTAAGTGTAATAGTGTGTTAATTGAAAATGAAAATACATGTACATGTATTATCCTCCGGCTTTTCCCGCACACTGTAACGATGGTCACTTGGATCTGTAATCAAAAGTGAAACTACAGAGACTGAGAAAATGATGAAGAAATTTCAGTATTTTTCAAAGAAAGGACGAACAAAACCCATACAACATGCTAGGAAACCCACATGTTGTCTAGTCTATTGAAATAGTCACTTGCATGCACACGAGCGTCTACGATATTCACTCAGATTCGCCGATTAATAATGCAAAACAAGACTGTGTGTGGACCTCCAGATTCTGACTAATCAGCGGGCGCCGTCTATCGGGTCTTCGGTAACCCTGTTTTGTGCCAAAAACATGGCAGCCACTTGACTAGTCAACAGCGTAGGCCGAATTTCTGCACGAAATGACGTCACAAAATCTAAAGTCGACTCCGATTGGCTGGCTCGCAGGGTCGCATTAAAAATGCAATGCTCACATAATATCAGACGTTCGTAGTGTGGCCCTGCACACTACACGTGAACGTGTGATCCTCAGACTACCTGTCACCCACGGCGGGAATCGAACCCGGGTCAAAGAGGTGAAAGACGAAGAGCGTATACCGTTACGCTTTCCTAACCTAATACTTTACTTCCCCTATAGCTGCTGATGACGGAGCTTCTACTGACGGTTATAAGGCAACTGAGACCAACGATCGGCGTAAGGGACAGTTAGAGACAGGTATGAAAATACAGTAAATAACATTCGCAACAAAAACTTACTCTTTTGTGGAAGCACTGAATATAAGCATCGCATGATTAGATGCTACCGCAGTCTCTGAACGTTACATTACCACAGCCAACTTAAGTTTGTTGTGATGTGAAAACCGTTTATCAAACTCAAGAAAAATTTGGTCACCAACCCAACAAAAACAGCCACAGATCACAAGACTCTCTTTTGAAACTGCCACTTTTTACAAAGCTTACAGCAATAGTCAACATTGAAAAAACTGAAGGGTATGATGTATGATATTTCTTCTCCATGTGAGAAATAATATAATAAGCGCTCTTTTTAAATATGTTGTAGATGCAGAGTTAGATCCCGGTGTCAAAACAAACCTTAGTTCTAAGTAGTGTATTCGTTCAATGATGTAGACATATTTTTTTCTTCCACAGGTATGATAGTTGGAATAGCAGTTGGAATAATAGCGGCATTGACTGCTCTTTTGGTGGTGGTGATATGTCTGAGGAAGAAAAGGTACTTTAATCTAACTGCTTGTACTGACGTCCATGCACCTCGCATACTACTAAACAAAACTACACTTGTACACACGTTGGGCAAAATGGGTTGATAGGTAGACCAACCGTAAACAGGTTAAACTCTTGGGCAAATTGTTCCCAATTGTTGGAAAATTGTTACCCAAATTGGGTAATTTTAAACCAATGTTGGGTAAAATTATATTGCCCAACAGTGTTTCGCCCATTATTATTATTTTTTTTACAGTGTATAGGCTTCCCCTGTCGAGCTGGACCCAAAAGTCTCACATAGTTTTAAAGTTGGTGTATACGTGCTTTTGGGGTGTAGCAACTTGGAAAATTGATTTTCAAATTGAATTGATAATTTTCTAGCATTACATTAGTTATGGGCTTTCCAATGAGACTTCGCACGCAAGAATCGGCGCATGACAAGTAATCAGTTAATTATTTTCAACTTTTGAATTAAGAGCGGGACGCTCCTAATTCGTTCTGAATAGTGTGCGCAATTTCTGAACTGGAGCGCGCCATTTCAAACCAAATTTTAAAACTGTATAAAGGCCTGCAAAAATAAACAAGCAAATTTATTTGTTACAGGACATTATATTCCTTTAAATTTCGTTCCGAAAAGGAAATCGAATTAAAAAAAAAACATGTAATATTCCATTTTTAAAGTCAGTAACTTCACTGTAAAACGCGAGAACATGTGACACGTTTATAAAATAAACGCAGTGTTTTAGATTTAAACACTATGTGACAAAATTAAACACATCATGTGTTTTTAAACAAAACAGTTAGCGTTTAATGTCAACAGTGCTATAGGGTGTTTATTATGAGATCGGTTTTAGAAAATGGTTTACCTGTTCAATTTCACTAGTTAGCATTTTGTTTATTCCCAAAGAATAACACTTTGTTTAAAAAAGGCTTATTAACTAATTAGGACACTAATAATAACTCAAGTTATTAATTTAGCTGTTTGTGTTCAACACCTAATAAACACGGTACACGTCACGATGTTTAAATATGACCACGTGATGTTAGGTCTTAACCAATAGGATTCAATCTGATTGCGTGCTGGCGCGGCATAATCGGGCCAGTTAATTACGCGGCACAAAGACAACCGCCATTTTTCTGACAATAATCTGGGCACACTAATAGAATAATGTAATGGCGAGAATTATTATCGTCATTCGTGGTAACAAAATTTGCACGGGTAATGAAACAATATACATGTATGATGTAGTCTCACAGAAGGCACTAACAGTTGGTCATGACCTAGGCTAGAGGTCAAGTTTGGTATGCATATTGCCAAGTCAGCAAGAGTGCATGTTCTCAGATGCAACGTATTCTGTGCATGCAGTACGACGGTTGTAGTTTGAACCAGTTCTGGAAGCTCCCACACAGGTGGTAAGTTTTGTCTTTTGTGTTGTTTGATTTAATTAATCCCTATATACAATATGATAGATTTAGAAATACGAGATGAGATGAATTAGTGGGAGCAATTATTGGCCAAAGGATCGTGTGATAAAACATGAATATGAAGGGGAAAAAACAACCCTGATTTTGATTTCCTCATATTATTTTTCTTGGATGACGATGCTGTTATACAGTATAACTGCTGTGCAGCTCACAATATTATGAAGGAAGTTCTGTATTTGAGCCACATTATGGGGTGGTCTATGTTGAGTGTATACTTAATATGAGGCTATAAGCCTATGGGGCGAATTACAATTGCAAACACGCAGTGTCAAAATGTTTGTAATCTTGGAAAATTCAGTGAAGTGGATTTTTTTTTTGAAATCGTGATTTAACTATTCAATAAAAACATGCTAGTGTTATCACCACTGCCTAAGTTATGTAAGCTGAAGGGGACCAGCATGAATGATTTTGAAAAGAAAATTCTAGTATTAGTAAGGTCAGGTACAAATTGTTTAACCATAATTTCCATTTCACATGATGTTATGGGCGTATATTGTTTTGATATTTTCTTTCTGTATATTTTCAGGGTGTGTCTAATCCCTTGCAGATGAAGGAAGCTATTGACTTTTAAAATAAAGTAAGTGTCTTTTGGCATTGATCGTCATTTGGCAGTGCAGTGTGTGATTGTACAGATCAGCTGTGTATACAACTTTTGAAAAACCCGCAGTGCGTGTACATAAAAGATGATCCCCAAATTTTTGGTACAATGCAGTATTTCACAGGGATTCAAAACCATTCGTTTTACAGAACATGTGTTATGTTTTGAATATAGGGTCCTCTGTAGACGCTCGATGTAATTGCATACATGTACGTTCAGCAGAACACCAAGTTTGAACGCGGCGAGGGTACGAAGACGAGGAGAGTGCTAACTATTCATGAGGTAATTTTGTATTGTAAAATATATTATTCAAATCTTCAATTTAATTGAATGATGATGTTTGGCTGAGATTCTATCTTGCATAAGAACCTTTCAACTTCCACTGTAAATTTACTCTGGCGGTAAAACATCATGAAATGAAAAAGTATAACATTCTAGGTGAATACAATTTTGAAATACAATTTTAAATAGAAAGTCTCCGTAAATACCTACATGACTGCAAAGTTATTGGTACGAAACTGTGAAAAGCTTGCCTATTTTCTTCAGATTTTATTTTTAATATTTGATCCACGATCAAGCTCAAGCTGTAACTTTACAGTCTTTGCGCACATTATCTCTGATAACAAAGGTTAATATTGACGTGAGTCCCAAAAAGGCCGACAATTGTGCAATTTACTTTTGAACCCAATTTTGTAATCAGTTTTCATATTCTTCCTGGAGTAAACTTTATTAATGACTTGTCATTTTAGGGTCTCCATTATTTTTTTTTTACTGTGAGTTTGGTTTCACTTTCAAAGTTGATCAGTTTATGTATGGCTCACTCAGAAATCTTGTTTATGTCCACAGAATGCTGCTGAACCAGACAGAGTATCTGCATCAAAACTACAGTTTACATTACATGTGGAGACACCATCAAGAAAGTCTCGAACTACAACACGTACAATGATGCGCCTCTTCTCCAGCTTGGGAAACTATGCCTTTAATTTGGATTGTCCAAAGTATTTTCACGTGCTTTGAGTTCTTTTCAAAAAATCATAATTAGAGAAAAGTTGCTGGCAGATTCCAGCAAATTGATGCAGTTCACTACAAGGTATTTGTGTATAAATTAATTAGATATATTGTTGAAATCTCAGCTAAAGATCAATACTTATTTTACCACTTCAAACTATAACGCAAACCTTCATAGGTTTTAAAAAACAAGTATAATTCATTTGCAGTTTTACTTCTAACTCTCATTGAATTGGAAAATAATTGATTTTAGCCCTATTTCCAGATATATTCATTTACTTTTAATTCACCCTTTTTGTGTTTGTTTATGTTTTTGTTTCTTTGTTTTGATACTTGTGAAAAATGTAATTGGCCTTAATGTTGGGGTCTTAAAAAAAGGATTGTTGGAAACATACTGATAGGCATGTGGCATATTCACATAAATGTCACATTATTTTTGCTGTCGTGATGTACAATATTCTCTAGGGGTGACCATAAAAATGCATTTGTATTTTATTGTTGTCATTTTCATGATTCGATAGAACTGAATAGGCCTTTCACCACAATCCTATAGGTGAAAATGAAGACAGCTTTGTGAAGTGCCCTAAATGCGTTTATTTCAATGTTGTTAATATTGTGACTGAAGTTTTACTTGCAATTTTGAATACTGTTCGAAAACTAAACACACACTGTGAATATAAACACTTGAAAATAATAATAAATGGCGTCACATGTTTAAAATCTGTCACAGGCAATAAACGTGTCACATGTTTAAAATTACAACAGATTGACGTGTTTTCTTTTTGACTGTGTGTTTACTTTTTAAACGTCAGTAGTATTTAAATGTTAAACGCCTTTGATGTATATATTTTAAACACTGTTCCGTTTAAAGATTAAACACCGTCAGTGTGCTGATTTTAAACACCAAATATGTTTTCAAATTAAACATGTTCATTGGATAAACTGCGTCACATGTTTAAAAACTGTCACAGATTAGTGTTTATTTAGGTGTTCTAAACCTAAACACATGGTTTACAGTGTTGATCAGTCTCTCAGCCAGTTAGTCAGACGGGGCCAGGTTTTTTTGTAACATTTTTTTGTAAATTTTGTAACATGCATTTGCAATATTGTACAACAACTTAAACAATTTTCCGGGGCTTTCATTTTCCAGAGCCAAGAAAAGAACCGGAAGTGCAGACGTTGCCATGGACACCGTCGGACCAACATACGCCAACACTTTGTACGATTTATCAGTAGTTAGCCAGCCCAGCACTGAACCAACCCAAGCTGCCCCACCCGTGTACAACCAGGTCGCTAAGAAAGACGCCCACGATCACGTATACGCTACTCCTGATGTCGTCACTGCACCGGGGGCCACGCCCACCAACCGAGATGATGGTGAGAGTGGTTGGGTCGAGAATAAAGTATACGGGTGCGAATCCTTTCCAATTGAATGACAAAAGAGATTCCATACAGACGTGAAACCACACATGTAGAACCACTCACAATGGAAAAAGCCTAAACAGATAAAGTTTTACCAACTATAAAGTAAATCATTTCAAATACAGTTTATCTTTAATTTCGAAGCTCCATTGAATGGATTGTTAGCTAATTAAGCCGCAAGTTACACATGTTCTTGACTTGTCGTTGAATTAAATTCCGGCAATATAAAACATGTACATATACATTCAGGAAAAACTATGCTTTCCGTTGGCCTTGTACAGTGTTTCATCATCATCATCGTTATATGCATCATCATCATTGTTGTTGCCCGCTCGAATAGTTATATCCCACGTACGTTTCACTCCCATATAACGTGTGCATGTAAGTTTACAGTATAGGCGCTGCGGGAACGTGACTGCGCCCTCGGAAACCATACGGAGTCGGCCCTGGCCACCAGGCGTTTCCTCTTTTTAGATGCCAAGTTAAACTGCTTTTACGCGCTTAATTTGAATAAATATTAACTTTAAATCAATGTTCTGTATTAAGCAAGCCCTAACAATAATGGCCAGACAAATTCCATGCAGTGGTTTTTCACATGTAAAGTGGTTAATAAGGTATCAAAAAGTTTCCATTGTTCATGTGTCACTTTCCCATTTAAGATTTCTAGACAATCGAGGTTTCCACAGGGCAATGCAATACTGAACATAAAAATTCACTCGGTGATCTTTTACAAACAATAGATTTCTCTTCGGTAATTGTTTTTGTTTCGATAAAAATGAGCAATTTTAAAAGCCGACTAACCATACATTTTTTGTCTTTTTGGATTACTCGCGATAAGTGATACCAGACCATTCACCTGAGATCGTACTTATGTTCCTCAATATATTTCGAGAGCAGTTTCTGACCAGCAAAATGGGGCTAAAAACCTTAGATGTGAGTTTGATTTTATGAAGCAAAGTTTTGAATATTTAAGACATTTAGCGTTTAAGTGTTTTATGTCGACATTTACACAGAAACTTATCATCAATTCCGACGAAAAAAATGTGTGTTTTGTTACAATATTCAAACGCGGTCGATGTATCAAGAGATAAACAATCTGGCGAATTTTCTTTCACAAATTCGGTTACATGATACTCTCCTCCACCGTTACGTACAAGTATAAATGATGGGGAACCTCTAAAATTATGTTCTTATTCTTATCAAAAACAAAATTGCTTGTAAATTGCTGATAGGATAATTCATCATGCAATTGCCTTGTACGCTGGAGCGTTTAAAAATTAACATCTGTTATATAAAGCTTTGTGTAAATATTACTATATTGCTTGTCTTTGTGAGTATGTGTGATCTAAGTGTGTTTCACCAATGCACTTCTTGCTTGTGAATGTTACCTTTAACTTCATGTAATAATTTGCAGTGTATGCAGGGCCCTAATGGAAACCAGTATTAAATTGTTTTGCATACACCGGGAAAGAAATGTAATGTAATGTAATTAGTATGCTGGCATTTTTGAGAAAAGAGGAATTGTCATCATTTCCTTGCGATAATATCGGATCAAACCATGTGTCTTTTAACGGAAAGACAGATGATTTGGTCCTGTATCATCGCCAGGAAATGATATGCTAATGATTTCACAGAATGCATGATACTATTATTTATTTCTAATCAATTAAGTAGGATTGTCAGTTTCAGTTTTGGAATGTTTGCCATTGGTGTCCATAATTATTTTAAGTAAGTGTATGGAGGTTAATTACCTTTATGAGGCCTTTTATTCTTAATTCTTCTAGCTATCAGTCTGTCCTTTGTGCTAACTAAAATGTAAACGTGTAAATATTCTTCAAGAAGAGCCATGTAATAAAAGTGTTTCATGGATTCCATACTTCACTAGATTTTCCAAATATTTTACTTGGTCAAGTAAGATGCCACGCGGTGTATTGAAAATTGGATGAAAACAATGAAGGGAATAGTTACATTTCATAACTAGGTCAATAGTGTGATTTCTTAATGTCCATCGATCCCAGAATGCTTTTCGGTCCAACAATGGCCAAGATGGCAGTATCAGTAAATGATGACTACCATGCGAGGCGTCATCGTTTTCTTTTAGTTGTAGTCTACCACCGTACCGAACTTTTCAGCATGACGGTGCATGAGTGTATACGGTCTAACACAATCCTATCAGTAGGCGTTTTGGTGAACATAATTCCTTCTCGTAGTGTCTAAATATATGGATACAGGCCTTCTTTGATCAAGAAATCAATTTCAAGCCAAGCAAGTATATATGCCCAGATTACTCTGTGTTTAGTCAGTGCCCTTGCGAAAAAGTTTTATATCTCTGGTTTTTGCCTGGCATCCCCCACCACAACAGCCCGAGGCTATATATCTAAAGGATGATTGATGGCCTTGTTATACAGCAGCTATACTTCAATACAATTCAATTACAATACTATACGGGACAATACAAATCCTATGGGAGTTGGCCTAGGTCTGATCTTTGCCTCAGAAATTATGGGTAAAAAGTTCAACCAGGATTAAAGGGGTGCTCTCGATTCTTTTTAGCTCAGTCTCAAATAGGAAATTGTTGAGCATGAACTTTTTTGACGGAGAAATGATGGAGAAATTAAACTTTACGGTAAATTAAGCCACGATATCGACCAATCGCGTTGTAGTTCCAACATGCACAACTTGACTTCGAAAAAAAAAGCTTTGCATCGAAATTTCTAGCTCCATTGTGTATATGAATCTAAAACTGTTTACACAACTCGTTGAATTTCTTGACATCGATTTTCAGATGAGAGATCCGCTTTATTTTTCATGTTGGCAGCGTAGGCCTAATTCTATTTGAGTTTCGAATTTATGCTAATTGTATCATATTTATCATAACTATGATTGGACATTGCTGTCCTTAAAAATGTTCCTGTTTTTATTCTTGTGCTAGCTTATATGAGTTTATTTACCGTTTACATTTTAAAAAAATTGATGTATAATATGATTGTGCTGTATTGTATAATATTTGTATTTTGTTTGTTGTCTGAAGAGCCTTTTATATAGTGATGTAGTTCGCAATCACACCGGGATTATGTGAATTATTTTTGTTTTGCTGAAAGAACGCACACTTTTTGTGATCCGTGGACAGAACTTTAAAACGGTGGCTGTGTTTAAAATTCCGTAACTATATGAATGATTCTTGTACTAAAAGAAACTAAGGAATTTGGCTTTGTTATCCTTGAGTTTGAAAGTATTACATGCAGAACTCAACTGAAAAAATGGTCGCGACATTTGGATTTCGGTGTTTTTTTTATTCGCCCTGTAGATACAGGTCGTTCATTTACTTCCTCAACTTAAAGGGAACTTCGGCTCTCTAAAATTGTCATCGTTTGTAATGATTGTGATGATTAATTTGATATTATTGAGACCGCCAATCATTAATGTTGAAGTTAATTGGATAATTATAAGAACCAAATCATTAACATAAAACAAATCAAATATTTGAAGCAATAGTTATACGCATTTCCAGCTATTTATAAACACTATAGTTTCAGCTATAATGATGCAAAATGTGCATTTAATTAATATGCTATGACTTTAGGAAAACATTAATAAGTGTTTTGAAGAATAAATGGATGCTTTGATGATGAAGGTCTGACCTTAACTTGCGATTAAAACTCTAGCGTACGGAACAGAGCAAATCTATTTGATCTCAATGAAGTATTTGATTATTCTCATATTTTTATTGCAGATTCATGTTCGGAATGAAATGTATTTTTATAATAAGGGAAAAAATATGTGCTTGGCCGGTCTTAAACAAGTATGTTTATAATCGGCTAGGGGCCTGGACGCGGATAATGACCGGAGACGAGGGCAAGGGCCATTATTGGCGACAAGGCTCCTAGCCGGTTTTAAACGTACTTGTTTTAATACCGGCCAGGCACAATAATTTATTCCTATTCATAAATACCTTTCGGTGAAAAAGTCAATACAATTTGATCAATACAAGTCAAAAACTTTTTTCCCCGACAATTGTACTTCATGTTTTGTGAAACACCCCCTAGCTATGTTTATGGAATGTGCCTTGCACGAGTATAGTACTAAAACAAATCTCATTATTATAGGCCCCTATGGAGATTGGCACGCGCGTGGTGCATATACCGCGCGATGTAGCGCAGAACGCAACGGTACCGGTGTAGTGTGAATTAGGACCATTGATTTCCATGTCTGTGTATATGGAGATCAATGATTAGGACCATTGATTTCCATTATTGATGTACATCAATGATGAGGACTATGAAATACGGACTCATTGATAGTATTGCGCATGCCTAAAGGAAGATAACTGGGAGAGTGACTGGTCACGTGTGAGGGTTCAACCAAGAAGAGTAAACATTGACCAGATTTCCGAAGCCCGAGTAAAAATTCCAAGTACACCGGAAAAGAGGAGTTACCAGTTGGTGTTTCAACCGTTTAAAACCACCCACGTGACGGGCTCTCGACCAATAGGAATGGATAAACTGTCTGGTTATGAATACTCGAAAAGGACTGTGCTTGAAATTTGGTGGGTTTTTTTGCATTTACATAAAAAGAACAGCCGTGAGGGATATCTACCCGGAATCAAATCGTGTTTTTAGAAACTGCTACTCAAAGCGACGCATGTTTGACACCGTTTTCACAAACAAAATATACCGTGAAATCTGCAATAGCGCATTTCTCATCTGTGAGTGGAGTACATTATTAGCTGTGCACATAATCAGGTCATTGTCGAGAAAACATAGGCCCTAGTCATGATTCTACTGAAGCATCGCCTGGTTAGTGATGGATTCTTGTCTAGTCGCCTGTTGGTTTTTGCTCTGTTCATTACAGCTTGCAAAGTTGTATTAGTTTTGTCGCAGCCACGGAATGGTAAGTCGTTATTTTTGTTAAATATTTTCAATTGGGCACATATTCATTGTAGTTTCAATAAAAAAGCGTTCTCGGAGAGAATCCCGTACCATTTATCGACGTAACTCTATAAACATGCTATACACATGCATCATTGTCTAAAAATGATTTGGTTGGGACTCGAACCCACGACCTCCAGATTACTGGTGTACAGATATTTTGACCAGTTGGCCACCCTTTTGTCAGGGTTAGATGGGCGAATGGCCAGTTGATTGACCGCGTTATTGCAGTGGGAACCGCAATCATTTTTTTTTAAAGTATCATTCGGTATCTACTTATCCTCGGCAGGCTATTTTTGAATCTGCTCTTTCTCACTGCCAGCATTATTTCAGTACAACCCGAGAGGGAACGATGTGTTAGACTCATGCTTTGGTCTTCAGAAATTTACAAAACCTAAAAAAAAGAGTAAATCCGACTGCCGAAATTCAATGACTCAACTAAGGGCAAGACTTTAGACTATGTACAAAATTGAAACTTGTTGAGACACTAAAGAATTTGCTGTTTGTATTTATTTGAACAAAGGGTACTTTTTCACTTTTCACTTACTTGCTTCTGATTATAGCTCCTGGTTATCTGGGATGCTACCAGGACTGTGAAGATCTGACCTGCGCAGATGACGGGAGTGATCGTGTGCTCCCGATTGGACCAAGTGGCAGCAAAGGCAGCAGCAATCAGTCTGTAGAATGGTGCTTCAAACACTGCTTGGATGGTGAAATCATCAGCTACAAATACGCAGGACTAGAATACAAATATGAATGTTTTTGTGGAAATAACGAAGACTACGGCAGACACGACATAAGGGACGACTCTGAGTGTCAAGATAGGTGCGAGGGAAACAGCGACCAGTTCTGTGGAGATGATAAGAGGATCTCTATCTACAGAAGTAAGGCTTCATCCATTAATTTACATGTGTTAGATCAATTTTTTTTTCCGAAGAAACTTTAACCGACGCTTTGAAATCCAAGAATTGTTAAGAGTGTTGGCGGAGATGTTGATGTCAACATGTACAGGCAGAAAAAAGGCCTTGAGCTATGAACCGAAATGTGCAGTATGTATAGGACGTCCTATCATTTCCTCCAGTAACATGTAATGAATAATCGACATTGGTCAAACTAAAGGGGCGGTTACCTAACTCCTTCTTCTGTTTCATTTGCATACAAAAAACGCGAAACTGCGAAACAGTTCCGACACAATGAGTCCGAAGGATGGCTCATAGTGTGATGTTTATATTATCTTGGCTGCTTTCTCTCTGTTTTTATAAATGACTTATTATTTAAAAGTAGATCGTATTCTGGAAGTTGGTCCAGTTTTCGGAATTTCTTCTTTCCTTTCTTGTTATAACAGTATCAGACGGAGTATGCGGTAATGACATAGGACCACCCGCCAACGGAGCCCACAACATCGCCAACCCGCGTTCACTGCCTTACAATCTCAACAACTTCAAGTTCTTCGGGACTCGCGTAGATTTCTCCTGTGACCCTGGATATACCCTCCATGGAGCATCAAACATTGAATGTATTGAGACTGGCTACAACAACGTCACGTGGAGTGACTCGGTACCAACATGTGAAGGTATTTAAGTAAGATACAGTAACCTGCCATAATCAGAAAAGAATGAAATTAGACAACACTAAATTTTGATTTCGTGCTTTCACTAAATCGCTTTCACTAAACAACGTCACGTGGAGTGCCTACAGCTGTATTATTACTTCGACAACAGTCCCATCGTATATACAAGTATATGAAGCATTCCGTCATTTTATTAAAGGTTTTTCCAGCTATTTTAAAACCTATATTAAGAGTATACTAAAATATGAAAATGCCACCAACTAAATATGAAAAAACCTACTTTCAGAAGGGGAAACAACGAAGCGGTGTTGCAAACTGCATTTGTTCTGATCTTTCCTTTCTTCATTTTGTTGTGCATCAACTAATCACACTACCCAAATGTAGGTTTCTAAAAGTTGTGAGAAACAATACTTAACCGAACGGACATTGGCGTACCGAGTGTTAATGTGTTAATTGACATTGACAATATTATTGCACATCGTAGTGATAGACATTAATGATCTGCATAATCAATATGAAACTAAAGAGATAGAGAAAATGATGAAGAAATGTTCAGCTTTATTTTAAAGAAAGGACGCAAACTCCTCCAAAATGATATATGCTAGGAAAACCCGCATGTATAGTCATGTGCAGGAATCGAACCTGGGTCTCAGAAGTGAAAAGCGAAGAAAGTACCGCCACTGCGCCAGCCTAACTCAAACTGGCCAATATTTTATTTCATCCAGCTGATGATTACGGGGCTACTTCTACAGACCGATATAACAGTTCCAGCACAACGGCAAAGGGGACTAATGATACCCATAAAGGAGAGTTAGAGACAGGTACGAAAAATAAAAAATAATCAAGAAACTTACTCTGCATTGTATAATACTTCTTCCGACATTATCATTGCCTAATTATTAGTACATTGGATCATTTGGGTTTTTTTGTGCATTTTGTTTTCGTCTGAAGCAACAAAATTGCTCAAAATCTTATGTGAGATGTACAACAACTAACTAGTTGAAATTTCATCTCGCGATACATTTTAAGAAAACAGAGAAAACGTATATAGGCCTATGCAAGTTTTTTGGGGGGGGTCTCGTAACTGGATTATGTTGCTAACGCACGTACAATCAATTAAAACCACCTTGTTGATAGTTTTCTTCCATTTCAGGTGGAATAATTTTCAGAGGGTATGTGACACACTAGTCCTATCTTTACTTTGAGCAATATTCATCCAATAGCAGTATTATTTTGTAGCTATTTGAAGGATTAGATATCGCTGTCAAAACAAGGTTAGCTTCTAAGTAGTGGTTTAAAATAATCCTCGAGAAGGCTAGTCTTCAGTCAAGACTGCTGCATTGTTTTTTTTCTTCCACAGGTATGATAGTTGGAATAGCAGTTGGAATAATAGCGGCATTGACTGTGGCTCTTTTGGTGGTGGTGATATATCTACGGAAGAAAAGGTATATATAACTGCTTCCATGCACCTCGCACACCATTAAACAAGAATCAGGCTTGTCTTACCGAGCTGGACTCAAGACTCACAAAATTTATAGTCAGTAACTTAATCAGTCACTCAGTCGGGTCCAGTTTTTTGCTTAACGACCACTTGCTACTTGCATACTTTTTTATTGTTTTAAATGACAAGGATGTCGTAGAGCGAGCCACTTTAACCAGTGGCTTAGCCGGGGGAGGGGTTAAGGACGTATTCACTTCTCAACATTTTTGAAAGAGTGCCTTTTTTTCACAAGTGCCCTTTTTTCACGAGCGCCCTTTTTAACGAGTTTCCATTTTTTTGGAATGTCGCCCGAACGTCGGCAATGGACCGATCCAGTAAGCACCGCCCCATGGTGTTCTGACCAATCACAGCCGTGATTTATGTCCGACGTGCGTGCACTAAAGTCCGACATGCGCGCACGCGCGAATGATGCACGCGGAAGGAACATGCAGCGTGCACTGGCATTGGAGAGGAGCGCATGTTAATTTGCCCACGTGCGCACTGGGCGGAGCTTACTGGATCGGTCCATTGTGCCGCCAAAATGTGCCGTGAAAAGTGCCAAATTATTTTGTCCGACGATAGTGCCCATGATCGCCTGGTTTGAACAGCCCCCCCCCCCCCCCCTAGTTTAAAGAGGGTGAGCAAACTTTGAAATTAAACGGTTAATAACTAAATAGTTTTGGGAAAAGCGTGTGAAATTGTTTCTCGGGCAAAATTGAATTTTAAGAGTTGGTGAATTTAAATGAAAAACGCATTAAAATAAAACCAACATTTACAAAACGATGGGTTTGACGAAGCAAATTTTAGAAAAAAATACCACATTTTTTTAACGTCACCAGCATGTCATGTTTGTAAATTTGTATTGACTATACGATTTGAAACCTGCAGAACAAGAACCGCAACAAAATATCTGTCTGAAAAAAACATAAATGTATGGTTGTTCTGTTATTAATCCTACAACATATAAACTCCCTCAATACGAGTCACATTTGAAAAATACAAATTTCCATGGTTTTTGTTAATTTCCAGAGCCAATAAAAGAACTGGAAGTTCAGAAGTTGTCATGGACACGGTGGGACCAAAAACACGCCAACAGTTCGTACCGTTGACCAGTAGTTAGCCAACCCAGCACTGAACCAACCCAAGCAGCCCCACCCGTGTACAGCCAGGTCGCTAAGAATAAAAACGCCCATCACGATCACGTGTACGCTACTCCTGATGACGTCACTGCACCGGGGGACACGCCTACCAACCGTGATGGTGGTGAGAGTGGTTGGGTTGAAAATACAGTGTACGGGTGCGAATCCTTTCCAATTGAGTGACGACAGAGAATGCAATACAGAAATAACACCGCACATGCAGAACCACTCACAATGTAAAAAGCCTAAATAGATAAAGTATTACCAACTGTAAATTAAATCTCATCATTTGAAACATAGTTTATCTTTAATTTCAAAGTTCCAGTGAAAGGATTTTTCAGCTAAGCCCCTAATTATTATATACCTGTTCTTTACACTTGTCGCTGAATTAAATTGCGGCATTATAATACATGCACATACATTCAGGAAAATGGCTTTCCGTTCGAGCCTTGCCTTGTTCAGTGTCTCATGTTCACAGTGTATCCGCTTGTCACTTCATAAAAGCCACGGGAAATATACTGCTGTTAATCCATTTACATGCCAAAAATGCGGTTTAAAGTAACACTATGTGGAATTTATATACAGTGTGTTGAACATTTCGACCGGTGCGTGTCATACGAACCGCATGGTGTCACCGTAATTTTTGAAGGCAATGGACACCATTTGCGAACATTCAACATAAATCTGTCAAAATATCATGAAATATCCTACTTGATTGCAAGTAAATAATAGCATCAAGCATCCTGTAAAATCATTAGTACAGTATGCTGTTATTTTTTAGAATAAACGAGTTTAACATCAGATCCTTGCGGTGGTTATAGGACCAAACCATGCGTCGAGAAAATGAAAGATGCACATTCGCAGTTTTCTCAAAAGAAAACAAATGTCTTCTGGGATGAAATTGCGACAGGTTATTTTTTTATAACCTGCTTCAGATCTGTTGTTTTTCCCTGAATCGGCAAAAACACATTTTTGTTTTTGCAAACCATTACCTATTAAGTACGAATAGCTGAATGTGAGTCTTCCAATGCAGGGAAATAGCACAGTGGATAGCACAATTATCTGTTATTTCAAGTTTAAAGAGGTATACAAGTTCAAGTACGCTTAAAGAAATGTCAATAAGCCTTTTGTAGAGATGGTGGACACAGTAGGAGGGCGCTATTTAGAGCCCAAAAGTCTTTTACCCACTTCGCAAAAGCACCATCCATGTTGTGTCCACACTCTCTCAAAAATGTTAATATTAGTGACAAAATGTAATAGACAATGTTCCAAACAAAAAAAAGTTTGCCGATTCAAGGAACTTTACTATAGTATACAGCGATGCCCGAAGCAGGTTATTAAGAGACTAATCTGTCGAAATTTCAGATCAGTAGATGTGACACTTTAGTTGAGAAAACTGAGAAAGTGCATTATCATTTTTTGTCGACGCAAAGCATAGGTTTCCGTTGAAAGCATGATGGTTTGGTCCTCAATCGCGAGGAAATGAAGTGTAGCGGCAAGTTGTGAAATTTAATTTGGGTTTATCATAATTGTTATTTCAAAGTGTTTTCTAAACTTTAATTTATGATCACGCATACCTTTGATTGGAAATAAGTTTGTTGCGGTAAAACTGTGCGTACGTTAATCGTTCCCGTACTTTCGTAATAGCGCCCTCTTGTGATATGGTGCATTTTGTAAGGTCAAAGTGTAAATTCTTCATGATTCCGATGATTCGTAAACAATGAACGTGTACCAAATTTATCTCCCCAAATCAATGTAAAATTATCAGGTTTTCTAAGTCCCAAATGTTGTAGTTTCGGATCCAGCACAATCGGTAAGCCTTGTTGATTTATTCATGGATATAATTTATCGTATTCTGAGTGATTTAGTAAGATTATTTGTAGCTTTTCAAAGTGAAGATTTATATGTTTTGGGGGTGTTTACTTACACGTACAGGGATAATGTACGCACTATGTCAAGTGAAGGCTCAAGCTCAATCGCATATATATTTGACTAATTAATCTAATGGTTTATTATGTTTTTCTGTAATTGTTAATACTAAAGTTAAGTATTGTAATTTGTGTAATTACAGTGAACCACCACCACCACCTCCACAAGAACCAAATACAGCAGCAATAAAGTACATGCCTCAGGGTGCGTTCAGAAAGGGACCGAATACTTCGAATAAAAACACTTGTGTAGCAAATGACGTTTGCAAGGCTACATGAAGGGTAATTCCTCTTTTCTACCCCCCCCCCCCCAGAACCGCGCCTGATCCCAGCAAAGGCACTGCCCTCTAAGCTTGGCTGCTACACAAGTTGTAGCAGTATTCAATGTCACCCTATCTAATATCTATCAAACTTGTTCAATTAAGAGGTATTGACAGTTATGTGGTTTAATCCATGGGGGTTCTGGCAGTTGGTGACAGACCTGTACAAAAGCTATGGGAAATATTGTGACAGTTCCATCAGTATAGGAGGGCTAAGGGGAAAGGACCTAATACAAATACATATCTTAATTTCTTCTTGCTGTATCATAGGCGTCAATCCTGGGGGGGGGGGGGGGGGGGGGGGGCAGGGGGACATGTTTCTCCCCCCCCCCCCCCACACACACACACACTTTTTGAAGGGTGGGGGACACAATATCAAATGTCCCCCTCCCTCAGATTTTTGAACTCGTGCCTCATTTACAGAGCCCTATTATGTACTACAATGAATCTTTTGCTAAGAAAATATTGGTTAAAGTGGTCGAAATTGCCTCAGATCACACCACATGAGCATCTAGAATCCGAATTTTGTAGGGGCCCTTAAGCGGGCCCCGAACCCCACGCTGTAAGGGCTTCGCACTTCGCGCTCGCATTATTTATGATCAAGGTATGTCCCCCCCCCCCCACTTTTGAGAAGTGATTGACGCCCCTGTGCTGTATCGACCTGTACTCTGTGCTAACTAAATATGAACATGTAAAATATTCTTTTAAAAATAAAAGCCATGCAACAAAGTGTTTTAGGGATTCCATACTTAACAAGATTTTAAGTCTATTATGATTCCACGGTGTATTGAAAATGTAATAAAAACGCGGGGTATACATTTACAAGGTCAACAACAACAAGAGTGTGTACTTTCTTATGCGCATCGATCAGTCCCATAATGCTTTTCACGATGGCCTACGATGGCGGTACGGTATCAGTGCAATTTGCCACTAATTATATCGACCATTTTGTGTTTCCAACATGCACTGCTCCACTTTAAATACTATAAGCGTTATATTGAAAGTAATTATAGCACTGTGTAAAATTCTAAAACTGTTTACACACCTTGTTGAATTTCCTAACATCAATTTCATGAGAGATCCGCTTTCGTGTTGGCACTTGGCAGAGCAGGCCTATTGTCTATGAGTTTCGAATTGTATGCTAATTGTATCATAATTAATTTCACCGTTAATAAGCTGGCGGATTTTGTTTCGAAACAAGTCATTATGATGACAGTGCAAGTTATAAATCTTATAGCGAGCGTGTGTACAGGTCGTTCATTCGCTTCCCTGCATTAAAGGGGCACTCCAACTCGCATAAGGTTGTAGCCGTTTGTAATGACCGTTATGATTTATTAGAGTCCATGGTAATATAAGTGGTATTTAATAAGCCTCTGTAATAATGACGTCACACTTTGTTTGCGTGTGTGCTTTCCTATGGTGCTCAGTGGACCGTGGGCCCCCGCTGGCTCCACAGGAAAGTGCACATGTAAACAAAGTCTGACGTCATTAGTACAGAGGCTTAGTTGATAAATGTAAGAAATACAACATGAATACGAAACAAATCAAATATATAAAGCAAAAGTTACACGCATTTCTACCTATTTATCCAAAGAATTGGGCCTCATCAGCGATCATTATACCAAATGTGAATTTCATTGATATGACAACTCAAATAAAAGCAAAAACATTAATAATTATTTTGAAGAATAAATGGATACTTTGATGAGAAAGTCTGACCTTAACTTATGATTAAAACGTTAGTACTGATCAGTCACATACAAAATCAATAGTTCCTTATATTTCATAAAGTCCTGGTCTACGTGCTGAAGTATTTGTTACTCTTGTATTATGATTTTTACTTTCATTTTTAACGTAGTGTTGTCAATTTCAAAGAGGATAAGAATGCAGATAGGCCTACATTTGATTTCAATGAAGTATTTTAGTATTTACATATTTTTATTGGTGATTTATGGTCGGAATGAAATACATTTGTACAATACTCGGTGTAAATAAGTTATGATTGGTAACTTGTTCCCCCCCCCCCCCCACCACCACCAAAAAAAGTTCCTTGAACTTTGTTTTTACAGTAGCATAAACAAAACCATGCGGTGTTCCGTGACGGATATCCACCCGGAACCAAATCGTACTTTTCCAACTGCAACTCAAAGCCACGGATTTGAAGCATACTTAACAAAGGAATTACTGGTGAAAGGTGCAGTGGTGCATTTCTCATCTATGGGTTGAATAGGTCTGCATACATGTATATATATATAGTTGCGCACAGGTCATTGTCGAAGAAACATGGCCATGTTTCTTCCAAAGCATCAGCGGGTTAGTGATGGATTATTGTCTGGTCGCCCGTTTGTTTTCACTCTGTTTACTACAGCTTGCAAGCTTGTATTAGTTTTGTCGCAGCCACGGAATGGTAAGCAATTTTAGATGTCTTTTTTTTTGGGGGGGGGGGGGGATAGGGCTGAGTGACACCGAATACATTTGGGAAGAACTAAGGGTAATGTGGGGAGTGTGGCCTAGTGTATGGTTAAGATATGTGACTCATGATCAGAGGGTTACAGTTTCGAATCCAGCTGCTGGCCATATGTTGTGTCCTTGGGCAAGCTCCCCCCCCCCCTCCACTTGCTTCTCTCCACCCAGGAGTATAAACGGGTATTAGCTGGGGAGTAACCTGCGAAGGACGGGCAGCCCAGGGGAATAGAACATTATATTCTCAGTCGTTTCATGCCATACACTGAAACCGGGGATAAACGCAGGCCTGATGGGCCACATTGGCTCGTGACGGTCTGTACTTTCCTACTCAGTGTAATGGTACCCCGGAAGGCACGGATTTTAGTTGTGTGTTGCATACCGGAAGACGAGTGATGTGATACATACAGGGTAGTGCAGGGTAGTGCAAAAAGAAGGAAAGTGACAGGAATTTTAACTTACTTATAAACTAAACTTAGTTGAACTATTTTTTTTTATAATGTAGTGAAGAATAGCTCCTCTACCATACGTGCTGGAAAATTGCAAGAATAGTGTCAGTATGCTAATTTGAATACAAGTCACTAAAATCACGTTGTCCGCGTGTAAGTTTAGTGTAGTGTTTTAGTCTTCAAATCAAGCTCCGGGACCTCAGTCAAACGGATGGAATAAAGCCGTCCCTGGACAAATTGACCTATCGCCGTTTGCGAGTTCGCCACGCCCCTTAGACAATCCTATGGATTTTTTTGGGCACTAAATTTGGTTAGTCTCAGATTTTGCGGGTTCCGCGTCCATTTGTATTGCATGTAATTGGAAAATATTTCACAAGCTGCGATTCTCATGCAATTCTACCGCGATAGGTCAATAGGTTTGGCACATGAACATTTTAAACTACCATATCGCAGAGACAAAATATGCATTTGAAATCTTTTTTTTCGTCACTTAATATGTTTAAATATCAATATTTCAATACCATTAAATTGATTTTTTTAAATGTGCTCAACGAGTAAGTAAAAATTGCTGTCAAAAGTACCCTGTATAGTAGTCTGACCCCATACCCTGCATGCAAAGACGAGGGCCAACTGGTTCCAATTGGCCACTTTTAACAAGTCTAATTAATGCATGTGTCTGATTATTCTTCATCATTGTAACATATTTTCTTGGTAATTTTGGGACAGCCTAGAGTTTAGTTCATCACTTTTTACTTTGCGGGCCATGATTCATTTGACTCCATAAATGTCCTATAGGAATGTACACAAATCAATAGGGCGAGTGAACGTCCCGCCAAAGTTAATGGCTAACGTGAAGGACCTGTGAGACTGAAACCCTGCAAGTATTGGGAATGGAACATTTTGGAAGTCAAGGGTAGGTGGGGCCTGGGATGTATAGTTGTAGAGTATCCAAAAAGGACAATTTGTGGGCCAAAAAGCGTTTTATAGATCAAATAATTGAAGGGAAAAAAAGAGTTTACGGCACTGTTTTTTGTTGTTGCATTTATCAATTTTTAAAATCGTATATGTTCTGATTAAAGCCCCTGGTTATTTGGGATGCTACGAGGATTGTACTGGTTTTTTTGGCGGTTGTAATCGTGCCCTGCCGATCGGACCAGTAGATAGCGACGATCAATCTGTGGAGCGGTGCTTTAAGAACTGTCTAGATACGCGTACAACGAGCTACGAGTACGCGGGACTTGAACACAAAAACGAATGTTTCTGTGGAAATACTGAAGACTACGGCAGATTTGGAAAAAAGGCGGACTCTCATTGTCAAGACACTTGTACGGGAAACAGCGACCAGATCTGTGGAGACTCAGACCGGATCTCTATATACAGAGGTAAGGCTGCATCTACTAGTACATGTGTATACAGTTGTACTAATAATTATACAAAATATATAGCAGTGGCAGATCGAAAAAAATATGGAGGTGGGGAGGGGGTTGGGGCACTGAGGTGTTGAAGTCTAGAATTGTTCAAGTGGGGGTGAGGGAGGATGCGTTAAAGTCAACACAAAAACAAAGACCCCGAGCGATGAAACCGAGATGTGCAATATTTGATGACATTTTAAGCAACGAAAAATTAGTTAGCTACCCTCTTTATACAGCTTTGCAAAAACATAGGGGGGCCTAAAAAAAAAGCGAATCCAAGTCCAACTGAATAATAAGGCGTTAACGATAATCAAGGTATCTAAAATGACCAGATTGAACTTGTTATCTTCACAGGATAGTCAGACTGACAAAATAGAATGTTGTACCATCACTTTAATTTGGCAAATTTTATCTTATCAGATTACGAGCTATATGCTGTTATTTCAGACACCCTGTAAAATGTCACCGTAAAACAAATCTTGTTTTGTATATGGGTTAGCAGTTTGAAAGACAATTGCTAGATTATGGCAGAAATATTCGGTCTATTTTTTCCCCTTATAAATTACTTCTTCAAGTTTCATACATTTCAAAGCATTGGTCCAATCCCCCATTACAGTTTCGCAAGGAGTATGCAGTAATGACATAGGACCACCCACCAACGGAGCCCATAACATCACCAACCCGCGTTCACTGTCTTACAATCTCAACAACTTCAAGTTCTTCGGGACTCGTGTAGATTTCTCCTGTGACCCTGGATATACCCTCCATGGAGCATCAAGCATTGAATGCATTGAGACTGGCTACAACAACGTCACGTGGAGTGACTCGGTACCGACATGTGAAGGTAAATCTGGGCGCAATTTCATGGTGCTGTTAAGCAGGAAAACATACAACAAATTTCGTTGCAAAGCTGGTAACCAGTAACAAGAGATATATTATAAGTATCAAGTGGTTTTTTGCCTGGTAGCCCTATGTTGCTAAGCAAACGTTTTCTGCTTGAAGCAAATGCTTCTGGACATTAACTCCACATGATTGTGTGTTTTATCGAATTCATCATACATTAAATTAACCCAATTGAACATCAGTGTTTATTTCATGAAGTGGCAAAATTTTCCCTGATGCAAAAACTGCACTACCAAGACACCGACCGAAAAGAATCCACCGACGTTTAGTTATTGAATTATTTCTTCACAAAATTCGAATTATTGGCTGCCAGACAATAATTTAGCTCTCGCAAGGCGGGTTCAGTTGTGTGCAAAATGAAAGCCATCTTTTCAGAGGGTTGCAGACGCCAAAAATCGGATTAAAGTTGTGTTTTAGTCAGAACAAAACACACGAATTGAACATTCGTTAGAAGAAAAAAACCCAATTTTTTAAAGAGCACGGGATATCCCACTTTAAGATTATTTTCCCTCTTAGCTTAGACAATTTATGCAGAAAACTGAACATTTGCCTCATTTCTTAATTGAAGGCTTTTCCTGAGTACATGCAAGCAATGGACACGGGACAAAATTTCTAATAAATCAAAACCAAATGACAAGTCAGTCTCAAGTTAGTACAAGTATTGAACAATGACCAAGGACTACCTCTGTCATTTGAAAAGCATCTCACGTGACTCGAGATCAGCTGACTGAAATGGGATGCCGTAACTGCAACTCTTGGGTTGCACACATTTACATTGTGAGTTCTTCCATCCACATTGCCTACAGCCTCAGCAAATCTAACAACACTGAGCGCTTATACATCGCCTCATAGTACCACCCCATCGCAAACCACAACTACATTTCACATCTCCAAGCCATTAACAGGGTACACTACTGATGTGGGCGAGTCACAGACACACACAACCCAGAAGACCTCTTCAAAGATTCTATCTCCGACCCGGGAAAGCACAAAGGCTCCAGATCATCGAACAAACAGTCCTATCGCTGGAAAGTTAGGAACAGGTATGTCGTTGTTACAGTGCCAACTATAGTTTTGGCAGTCCATCTGTAGTTGGGGCATTCCCAACTGTAGTTGGGGCATTCCCAACTGAAGTTGGAGCATTCCCAACTATAGTTGAGCCATACACAATACTGTGTATGAGAGTCCCAAACTTAAGGTATAGACTGGCACCTGAACAACCAGTCCAACATTTAGTCTCTATTATTTCCACACATTTCTCCTTAGTCAGCCACCAGACTAATGACAATAATGAAGAGGTCAGTCTTTTCAAACAGTTGGACCATGGTTGGACGTGTAACCAGTCTAGTCTTCAGCCTCATTTTGAAATCACTTGACTTCTCTCTTAGGTCAAAAAAAAATAAGTCAGTCTCTGGTATGGTCAGCGCGCGCGTCGATTTTAATCATGCGCGTCAATCTTTTTTCCCCCAAAAATGTTCAGCGGTAGCTCCAACAGCGCCCTCTATTGCCGCACCTCCTCAGTTTTTTTTTACCAAAGAGCGCCAAGGAATGGGAAATTGCACCAAGGCAAATTATGGAGGACACCAATGTACATGAGGACACCAAAAAAGCAAAAAAGTACCCACCTTGTCTGTACAATCCAAGCGTGAAGAAGAAAAAAAGAAAAAAAAAGCCGCGTCCCCGCGTCAATTCCGGCCTGTGCTGGCTAAAGAGTGAGTCAAGTTGGTCTGATTTTGTTTTGCATGTTTTTCAGCACCCAATGTCCTACTCTGGGGCTGTCCCAGTTGATGGGGTAGGCTGGGTTGTTTAAGACCACAATTCAGAAAAGTAATCATGTGACCAATACAGCGTAAACTTGAAAATACTCCAATTTGTTAAGCACACAACCAGTTATACAGGGCCAAACACACAGTCGTTTCCGAGATTTGGCATTGAACCATAAGGTGTTTAGATTTTGGCGGATTTCGGGCAGGTTTCCACGAAAACACACCAGGGTAATAAAGGTTAAAGCACCATTTTTAGTCCTTGTAGGTCTAAGCCACAAGTTGTTAAATATAAGTTTTTCCTAGACCCCAATGATTACAATAATGGCAACTATGTATCGTCTGTCTGCAGGTGAAGTTGCTGGAATTGCTGTTGGGGCCCTGGTAGCATTAACTGTGCTGATAGTGGCAGTGTTTTTTCTATGGAGAAAAAGGTAAAAGGGCACAAGTCGGTGCAAAAGTCCTAGTGGACACTCACCATTTAGTCCACGCTGCCAATTTAAACTTTAAGATATAGGCCCATCTTTAAGTTTTCCCCGCACTACATCTTTATAGCGCACAACGAAAGCATTCGAACCACGTAATTTGTGTAAATTAGCCATACACATACTTTCTTAGACGCGGTTGGTTTATTCAAGGAAGCCATGTACAAACCATTCGTGAACATCCTTGTGCACCTCCTTAACCCTTAACCTCCCAGATGCTTCAAAATCCACCAGGTTTTGGAGGATTTTGAAGGATTGCGGAAGGTAAAACACAGCCACTACATGTATTACTTTACATGGCCTTATGCTCCTTAAAATTTGAAGTACACCGATTGTGATATTTAATTTGCCCCCCCCCCCCCCCAAGAAAAAGGGGAGGTGACATGGGTGTATAGGCCCCTTTATAAGGGTCACAGTTCGTAAATATTTTTGCAAACTTTTGTTTAGGATCAGGAAGCCTAAAGAACAGAAGGGATCAGACATTGCCTTGGATACGGTTGGTGCCCATTACGTAAACCACACGTTCGCCAACCCTATCTTGGATACCAGCGGCACTGCACAAAGCCAAGGCGATCGCGACAATGCTCCGCCCGTGTACAGCCAAGTCGTCAAGAAGAGACCCGCCGATGAGGGCGCCACACTTTCGGTTCCCCCTCAAAATGACCAAGACGGCGACAGCGGGTGGGTTGACAATGAAGTGTACGGATGCGAATCGTTTCCGATAGAGATTGAGGCGAGAAACAAAGATAGAGACGGACAACCAAACGACCAACCGCCGATTACCATGGAAGGAAAGCCGGGATGGGTGGAAAATATCATCTATGAATAGTATGATCCTAAAGAATAACATCAATCAAAGGCACTAGAATCATTTGCAATTATCCCAAAAGTAGCATACCAAATTATTATCAAAAAGCTTACTTGGATGAAAGATCGTTCTGAAAATTTGCCTCATATTGGTACAAATTATTGACAGGCTGTGATAATTTTTTTTAACTGAGGGTTTGGTGCCTTGACTGACATTGATAGATAAGGTGGTTCAGCGCTGGTGAGAGCATGTAAATGATGGATGTAGTTAAGTAACGATGAATGCACAAAATGGTTCACTCATGTTTAACCCCAGCAAGGCGCGGTTCTAGATCCAATATTTCAGGGGGGGGGGGCTAAACCCTTCGCAAATAACGTCACTTTATATATTCTGAACATTGCAGAACAAGCCTCTGTTTTCGTTAAAGTTTTTTTCTTGGCTGTTTCGGCATTTGCCAAACAGCCTTTGTTTTTGTCAAGTTACTTTTTTCAGTCATTTCCCATAGCATTTTTAGGCCTAAACGTTTTCATCGTGCATGGCATTTTGGGCACAACAATTAATCCGATTGCCTTTATACTTGGCACACACTTGGACTAGCACCTGCAGATGTATGCTGAACATTGACGTCATCATGACGTCATAAAAAGGTGGATTTTGAAATACATATAATGGAATGTCCGATCGTTATGAAACTTGGTGGGTAGGTATATTTACTGGTATACAAAAACCGAAGTGACGTCATCGTGACGTCATCAAGTAATTTCTTAAGGCCTATTTTGACACAGGTATACAGGTTCGAGTTGGTGCTAACTTGGTATGCACCAACATCGGGATGTGCAAACTATCAGTCTATATCGTGACCTGAATTTACGTCAACAAAATTCCGAAACATTGTCTAGTTTTCAATAGCATTTTTGGGGAAGGGCCAAGCTAGACTAAAGCAAGCCCCCCCCCCCCCAAGAACCGCGCCTGATCCCAGCAAAGGCATTGTCCTCTAAGATGGCTGCTACACAAGTTGTAGAAGCATTCAAGGTCACCCTATCTATCAAACCCCTTCAATTAACAGGTTTTGAAAGTAATGTGGTTTAATCCATGGGGCTTTTGGCAGTTGGTGACAAGCCTGTTCAAAAGTCAGATAGGAAGTGGATATATTTTTTGACGGTTTGTCACAGGGCTATCAGTTTAGAAGGGCTAAGGGGAAGGCGCCTAATACAAAATACATTTCTTAATTTCTTCTTGCTATGAATCTGTATTATCTGTGCTAATGTGAATATGTAAACATTCTTTAAAAATAAAAGCCATGCAACAAAGTGTTTTTTAGGCGTTCCATACTTAACAAGATTTTCCAAGTAAAGGCCTATATTACTAGGTGTATTGAAAATTTAATAACAACGCAGGGTATACATTTACAAGGTCAAAAACCAAAGTGAGTACTTTCTTATCGGCATCAGTCCTAAAATGCTTTTTAGTTTTCACGTTGGCCAAAATGGTGGTATATGTAAAAAAAAAAAAAAAAAAAAAAGCCTCTAATAATATCGACCATTTTGTATTTCCAACATGCACAGCTCCACTTTAAAAACCATAAGCATAGGAAGTTATAGCATTGTGTATAATTATAAAACTGTTTACGCAACTTGTTGAATTTCCTGACATCAATTTTCAGATGAGAGATCCGCTTTCGTGTTGGCAGAGCAGGCCTAAGTTTTCGTGAGTTTCGGATTGTATGCTAATTGTATCATATTTAATTTCACAGTTAATAAGCTGGTTTCGAAACAAGTCGTGATGTTGATATATAGTGCAAATAATAAACCTTATAGCGAGTTTTTTATCTACAGGTCATTGGCAGTTCATTGACTTTCCTGAATTAAAGGGGCACTCCTTTAATTCAGTGATGATTTACTAAGAGACCGTCCATCAGTAACAAGGGCGGATCCAGAACACAATTTTTTGGGGGGGGGGGGCCCAAAAAAATTTTGGTGCCCCAAAAAAGTGGGTCAAAAAAATTACGGCGTGGGGTTCGGGGCCCGCTTAAGGGCCCCGAAATTTTTTTGGATTCTAGATGCTCTGTGGTGCGATCTGAGGCAATTTCTGACCACTTTAACCAATGTTTTTTTGAGGAAAAGATGGTGGTGTACTCATTGCCTGCCTTTATTGCGATGTCACATAAAAAAAAAAAAATTGGTTTCGTTTTTTTTGGGGGGGGGCATGGCCCCCTTTGGCCCCCCCCTGGATCCGCCCTTGATCAGTAATGGTTATATTACGTAAATTGGATAAATGTAAGAAACACAACATAATACGAAACAAATCAAAGATCTAAAGCAAAAGTAAGACGTATTTCCAGCTATTTATGCAAACAATATAGCTTCAGCGATCATTATGCAAAATGTGCATTTAATTAATATGCAATAACTTTAAGAACAACATTTATCATAATTTTGAAGAATAAATATTTGATGCTTTGATGATGAGAGTCTTACCTTAACTTGCGAATAAAACTCTAGTACTGAACAACCACACACAAAATGAACTGTTCCTTTTATTTCACAAAGTCTACGCCTACGTGCGGATAATTTTTTTTACAACTTTTTTTTTACGTTGTCTTGTCAATTTCAATGAGGATAAAGATAGGATTTGATACCAATATGAAGTATTTTCGAATTCGCATATTTTTACTGGTGATTTATGGTCGGAATGAAATACATTTATCCAACACTAACTAATAATAAGTAATGATTCGTAACTTGTCCCCCCCCCCAACAAAAACACCCGCTGCTTGAACTTTGGTTTTTGCATTAACATAAAAAAAACATGTGTGTTCCGGGACGTATATCTAGTTTATCGATAGGCGGAACCAAATCGCATGCCAACTGCGACTCAAAGCGACGGGTGTTTGACACAGTCTTAACAAAGGAATGAATGGGTGAAATGTGCAATGGTGCATTTCTCATAGTCATGTGAATAGAATAGTTCTGTATACACAGTAGTGTACACATAGCAGGTCACTGTCGCCAAAACAAAAAAACATGGCCATGTTTCTACCAAGGCATCGCCTGGTTAGTGATGGATTATTGTCTGGTCGTATCTTTGTTTTCACTCTCTTCACTACAGCTTGCAAGTTCCTGTTAGTTTTCTCGCAGCCACAGAACGGTAAGCTATTGTTGGTTATTTTGTTTTAATGGTGCACATTTTCATGCAAATTTCAATAAAATGTTGAGTGAGAGAACCCGTGCCCTTCACCGACGTAGCTCTATAAACAACTTATACTCAGTGCTGGTCCAGAACTTGTCAGCAGAAATTGACCAACTTGCCTGAGTGGGACTCGAGCAGGCGCGGTTCTAGAGCCAACTTTTTTTTGGGGGGGGGCCTAGCAGGGTGGATCCAGATTTTTTTTTCAGGGAGGCGTGCTGAAATGTAGACTGGATATTTTCTCCGAACACTTAGGCCTCCGAAAATCAATAGGGGGGGGGGGGGGGGGGGGCTCGTGCCATATTTTCAATGGGGAGTGCTGATAAAATCCTACAATCAGGCACACTATATTAGCTAAAAGTGTACAAATGCACCCTTCTCACGACTATTTATTTAGGAGGAAACTGTACGCATGTACGTCACTTTCTTAAATTTGGCTAATGCATTTTTTTTTATGGAATTTTTTTTTGGGGGGGCTAGACAAAATTTGGGGCCCCCTAGGCCCCCCCCCGTAGAACCGCCACTGGACTCGAGCCCACGACCTCCTGCGTACTAGAGTGTCACTTAACTGGCCATCCCGCTTGCTGCCAGTACTAGCTTGCAGGCCGGCCTATACCGTCCAGCCGATTCAAACCCGAAACGGAAGTGGAAACCACAATCACTGATTTATAAGGAACACACATGTCAAAAATACAGTATTTATTTTATCGTCGGTGGCCGGAATTTCCTTAACTTCGGAAGGGTGTAAAACATAGATACATAAATTGCTTGTTCGATTGAATTTGTATTCAACAGCCATCTTTTCCATCATCAGCCGTATCCCTGTTGAACTAAAAAGCGCACACGCGCGCGCACCTCAAAGATGGTTGTAGTGCAAAATCTACACAAAGTCATGCAAAGCCTACGTGCTCCATAATTAATTACACAAAATGCTACGTCGTTTAAATGTTTATTTCTTTGGGAAGTTTTCTTTGTCTTAAAACTAAACATTGTTTAAGTTTATTTTCTTTCCATTTACAACTTATTTTACTGACTGTTCTGATTACAGCCCCTGGTTATTTAGGATGCTACGAGGATTGTGAAGGTTCGAAATGTCAAAGTCATGAACGTGTGCTCTCGATCGGACCAATAGACCACGACCCCCAGTCTGTAGAGTGGTGCTTCAGACGCTGTCTGGAAATAGAATTCATCAGCTACAAATACGCAGGACTGGAATACAGTTATGAATGCTTCTGTGGAAATAACGAAGACTACGACAGACATGGGGAAAAGGACGACTCCGAGTGTCAAGATAGGTGCACGGGAAACAGCGACCAGTTCTGTGGAGCCTCCAAGCGGATCTCCATCTACAGAAGTAAGGTTATCCATTAAATTTGAATTTGCGATGTTGTTCTACATGTATCCAGTGCTATAGATCAAGGATTTTTTTCAAAGAAACCATGACCGGCAATAATTAATTAACAAAGGTCAAATTAAATGGAGGTTAGCCAACCCTTTCATCTTCTTTTCATTATTTGGACACGAAAAAGCGCTAAACCAGGAACTACTGAAGGAAATTCCTATTAACGATGCCCGATGGATGTTCTGGGTTTTTGGGGGGGGGGGGGTTATAAATGAAAATACTTAAATATAAGTCGTAGCCTACTAAAAAAAAGGTGTTCCAATTTTTAGGAAAAACTAATTGGCGAAAAAAGGAAAAAACTTTCTTCTTTCTTTTTCTTGCAATAACAGTATCGCAAGGAGTGTGCAGTAATGACATAGTGCCACCCACCAACGGAGCCCACAACATCACCAACCCGCGTTCACTTTCTTACAATCTCAAAAACTTCAAGTTCTTCGGGACTCGTGTAGATTTCTCCTGTGACCCTGGATATACCCTCCATGGAGCATCAAGCATTGAATGCATTGAGACTGGCTACAACAACGTCACGTGGAGTGACTCGGTACCGACATGTGAAGGTATTTAAGTAAGATACAGTTACCTGCCATAATCAGAAAAGAATGAAACTAGACTACACTAAATTTTGTTTTCGTGCTTTCTCGAACAACAGTCGACAACATTCCCACCGTAAGTACATCGTCACCGACACCACGAAGTAACACTCCACGTGTTAAATAGCCTTGGTCAATGCTCTCGTCGTTATTCGTCCCGTACGCGGTCAATCGTCGGCATATATCCTCACGCGCTATGCAGATGCATGTAAAAATACAGCGCGAACAGCGACCTCATGCGGCCACTATTTTTTGATGCAAATCAGTTGGGGACGATCAAGAGCCTTGGTTCAATCGTCGGTAAAAGCTTATGTTTTTCTTTATTTTGCGCTGGATTTCTAGCGCACGACCTCGTATGCAAATACAGATAAGTGTAGGCGGGGCTAATATGTGGAGTGTCCGATCACACCTTGGTAAGTCCGGACGTCATCAAATTATTTGCAGCTATTCGCCTTTTGCGGACGTGACAGGAACCACGTTTTTTTGTGCATCGGTGCCGTGTGCAGAGACAAACAACGTGTACGTGAATGGATTATGTACGGTGCCACGTTTCACTATGCAAGTTTCCACGCAACGATCGACCAATAAGAAAACGACATTTAAGGTCAGCTAAGGCTATAAACATAATGAGCACCACCCCCAAAACCTCACATGGACGATTGAACCAAGGCTCTCGATCGTCCCCAACTGATTTGCATATAAAAATAGTGGCCGCATGAGGTCGCTGTTCGCGCTGTATTTTTACATGCATGTGCATAGCGCGTGATTATGCCGACGATTGACCGCGTACGGGACGAATAACGACGAGAACATTGACCAAGGCTACGTGTTCAACCATTTTTGTTTTATTTTATTTTATTTTTTTTACATTTTTAAAACATTATTCATCAAGGTCTACCATTGCACGAAGTTTCAAAGCTTCAAGAGCTTTACTTTAATAATAACGCTAATTATACATGGCAACTTTTGCGCAAAAGTGACGATTTTCGTTTTCATGAAGTAGGCTTACACTCTCTTGTTGAGGGAGCGAGCGCGCTGACCTGACGTTCCAGTTTCCTCGTGTTGTATACATTGGAGAGTGTTACTTCGGGAAAACGAAAATTTACGGATGAAAAACAGCAGATTTAATAAATTCAATTCATGAAGTGTCCACAACGAGAACCAAACTGAAAATACTCTGCCGTTTTGACGCAAAGTGTTGTTTGAGAAGGCGTTCAACTTTAGATGCCGTTTTTCCGATTGCTAGTTTTTATTGGAATGTACATGGTTGTTTATTCGTGGTGTTGCTGACAATATATAAAAGACATTCCGTCATTTTATTATAAAAAGTACTATAATATGGAAATGCCACCAACTAAATATGAAAAAATCCTACTTTTAGAGGGGGAAACAACGAAGTGGTGTTGTAAATTGCATTTGTTCTGTTCTTTCCGTTCTACTTAGTATCAACTTATCAGACTGCCCAAATTTAGGTTTTCTAAACGTTGTGAGAAACAATACCTAACCGAACGGACATTGGTGTACTTAGTGTTAATGTGTTAATTGACCATTAGCGCACATCGTAGTGATGGACAATAATGATCTGCATAATAAAAATCAAACTACAGACACAAATAAAATGATGCAGAAATGTTCAGCTTTATTTAAGAGAAAGGACGCAAAATCCCCCCCCCCCCCCAAATGATATATGCTAGGAAAATCCGCATGTATAGTCATGTGCAGGAATCGAACCTGGGTCACAGAAGTGAAAAGCGAAGAAAGTACCGCCACTGCGCCAGCCTAACTCAAACTGCCCAATATTTTATTTCACCCAGCTGATGATTACGGGGCTACTTCTACAGACCGATATAACAGTTCCAGCACAACGGCAAAGGGGACTAACGATACGCATAAAGGAGAGTTAGAGACAGGTATGAAAAATGAAAAACAACCAAGAAGTTTTAATTGGAGTAACTTACTTGCAAACTCTCCCGACATTACCATTGCCTAATTATTGGTACATTGGATCGTTTTTTTGGTTTTTTTTTGTGCATTTTTTTGGGTGTGAAGGAACAAAATTGCTCAAAAATTCTAGGGTGCACAGCAACTAACTTTTTGAAGTTTCATCTCACGAAACAGTTAAAGAAAAGAGAGAAACCGTATGCATGCACATGTATATGCAAGTTTTGGGAGTCTCGTAACTATATTCTGTTGCTAACGCATGCAAAAACATTCGAAACCACCTGTTAGTTTTCTTCCAAACGATACCATTTCAGGTGGAAGAATGTCCAGAGGGTTAGTGACACTAGTCCTATCTTCACTTTGAGCTATATTTATCCAATATTGCAGTATTATGCTGTAGCTATTTGCAGAATTAGATATCGCTTTCAAAACAAGGTTAACTTCGAAGTAGTGTTTTAAGATATTCCTCATGAAGGTTAGTCTTCATTCAAGACTGCTACATTGGTTTTTCTTCCACAGGTATGATAGTTGGAATAGCAGTTGGAATAATAGCGACATTGACTGTGGCTCTTTTGGTGGTGGTGATATATCTACGGAAGAAAAGGTATATATAACTGCTTCCATGCACCTCGCACACCATAAAACAAGACCCAGGCTTGTCTCATCGAGCTGGACTCGAGACTCACAAAATTTATAGTCAGTAACTTAATCAGTCACTCAGTCGGGTCCAGTTTTTTTGGTTAACGACCACATGCTATTTGCATACTTTTTTGTTGTTTTAAATGACAAGGATGTCGTAGAGTGAGCCACTTTATCCAGTGGCGTAGCCGGGGGGAGGGGTTAAGGACGTATTCACCTCCCAATATTTTGGAAAGAGTGCCTTTTTCACAAGTGCCCTTTTTTTCACGAGCGCCCTTTTTTTTTAACAAGTTTCCTTTTTTTTTGGAATGTCGCTCGAACGTCGGCAATTGTGCCGCCATGAAAAGGGCCAAATATTATTTTGTCCGAATACTCATTGAGTGTATTGAGTGGCTCAGCGTGGAATGGGAGGAATATTATCGCAAGGTAAAATCTGGACTTTTCCATTTCAAGAGGCGAAGCCGAGTGAACTGGAAACGTCCAGATTTTACAGAGATTTTTTCACAATTTCAAGCCACTCAATATTTGTTTCATATAACTGACATATAGATCCTTGTCATTTGATATATTTGAACTTTTATTTAATACAAAACTGGAGGACAATGTTTCTCTCTTCCAAACCACCCCTTCACGAAAATGTGTGAACCCAACACTGTAGCGCCGGCTCTTTGGAACAATACGCGCTACGCACAACGCTGAACGCGCGCACACCAGCATGCATTTGCACACAAATACCGCGTCATGGAACAAGAATGATCCTAACTTTTCAATAGTATTTCCCATTCCCCATGGGCGGATAGTATACAAATATAACATGGTTTGAGGGTTGACAGTAGATATTCGCTCCCCGAGGTATTGGAAGTTGACAAACTAGTTCCCGAGGCGAAGCCGAGCGAACTAGTTTGTCAACTTCCAATACCGAGGGAAGCTAATATCGGCTGTCCACCCGAAATAAACCATGTTATATTTGTTTTACTATACCTCATACATATTCAGCGCCGATTTGTTGTTTTTTCGTTGCAGTATGCACCTCAAAAAAGTTTTTTTTGAAAAACTTGTCCAGTTCAGCAAAAGAATCGTATTGCTCAAATTCACTAGTTCAGTTCGTTTACAATACAGTGCAGCTGTAGATACAGTAGTTTGTGTTGGGCATCATTGAGCTCGGGAAAATAACGCGCCGTGCAACCATCTCTTCCTGTGTACGTGTAGCTAGCTCGTTTGGGCGATGTTCGCGCGTGCATACTACACCCGTGCGACAGTTCCACGATTGCTTTGTAAAGCGCATGCGTAGTAGACTGTCGCACGGGTAACCCGGTGTCACGGTCTCACTTCTCCGGCGTGCCATCTTCTCCGGGTGGATTTGGCGGATAATTGAGCACGTTACATGAGCACTATTCATGCTCATGTGTCCGCTGTGCTAAATTTCCTCGGGCTGTGTTGTTGTTGTTGTAAAGTCTACCGGTCCATACAGACAGTGAGGGACACCCAAGAATGCGTTATGTAACACTTCCTGTGGGTCAAGTCATATTGCAAGCATTCTGAAGTTGTATTCCCATCGTCATTGCGTGTACGTTGAGGAAAAATTAAGAAGCGTGTTCCTTGCTCGGTCGTGGTCCATCACATGCATGTCCAATTTGCAACCACATTCAACCACGGTTTAAAATAAATGTGCATCCTTCAAGTCTTTTTGGTTATTAGGATGTTGGGAGTTAATTGCACGCCCCACCATAGCCATGCCTAGGTCTGGATTTGATGGTACCCTGTGACGTATACATACAAACACACTAACTTCTTACGTGCACCAGCACAACCCCAAAGAACTCAGCACACACATAAAGTTGGCGAAAGTGAACACTACTGCGCAATTTTGTGCATGCGTCTTGAAGCGAAATTTCCAACTTGGAGAAGCTAGCACGCCGGAGAAGTGAGACCGTGACACCGTGCGACAGTCTAAACGCATGCGTATTTACCCTGTGCGTGAATCCTCGCGTGCGCGCTCGGTAAACAGCAAAAATAACATCTGGCACGTGATGGTGAATTGACCAGTGAGAGTTCGGCTCTCGATCATGAATATGTATGAGGTATAGTAATACTTTTTGAGCCACGGCGTGAATGGGAGCAATAACGAATGTCACGTGATGTGATTTCCACCAATCAAATGACAAGGATCTGTATGTCGGCTATATAATGCCCATGATCGTCTGGTTTTAACAGCCTCCCCCCCCCCCCCATAGAAAGATGGTGTCCAGCCCCCCCCCCCGATTGTCCAGTCGGAACAGCGCCCCATAGGAAGATGGTATCCCCCATGATCGTCCAGTTTGAACAGCGCCCCCATAGGAAGATGGTGTCCAGCCCCCCCCCCCCCGATCGTCCGGTCGGAACAGCGCCCCATAGGAAGATGGTATCCCCCCCCCCCCCATGATCGTCCGGTTTGAACAGCGACCCCATAGGAAGGTGGTGTCCAGTCCCCCCCCCCCCCCTTACATTTTTTACGGAGGCCGGACGGCCGGTGAATCATCACGGATTGGCGAGTGCCACGTTTCACGTCTCCCCACCCCTCCCCCACCCACCTTGCTACGCCACTGTTATCCGATGGTTCATTATGTCGGTTATTATCAAAATTTCAAATTTAGTTCCAGCAAATTCCAACGAGCACACATTTCGTCCTGGAGTAGGGGCTTATTCGATTTCGTCTCGTCTACGGCAAACCATGTTATTTAGAAATCAAATTCGTCTAATGCCACACAATTTAATCCTAATTTTGTTCAATGTCGTCATACTTCATTGTGATATTCTTATCTTGTTTTTTTCATAAACTTATTGAGGTTTTTTTATTTCATCTTCTTAAAGTGTGTTAGACTTTTTAATGCACATTACACGGGGATTTCAAGGTTATCGATCCGTGGTTTTTGACATTTCCTTCTTTCATTTTAATACTTCTCGGGTTTTTTGTTTTGTTTTTAATATTTTGTTTTGTTGATCTTGGTAATCTTCACACTTTTTTTGGTAAATGTTCTTTGAGTTCAGTACTCTACCTGGTGCGATAAAATAATACGAGCGAATGTGCCAAATTGTGCTTGGGGACGCAAGGAAAACGCTCGAGCGCTCACCAGACTAATTTACTTCACAAGTTATAAATGATTGATATAAGACGAATTCGATCTCGGAAAACTATTAGGCGGTGACGGCTTTAAGAATTTGATCTGTAATGACGAATATTCTCTACACGCTGTTTAAAGAGGGTGACCAAAATTTGAAATTGAATGGTTAATGACTAAATCGGTTCCGGTAAAAGCGTTTGAAATTGTTTCTGGGCAAATTGAATGATAAATTTAAATAAAAACGTTTAAAAACAAAACCTACATTTACCAAGCGATACGGTCTGAATAAGCAAATTTTAGAAATAAATACCACAACTGTTTGTGTCACGAGCATGTTTGTTAAATTGTATTGACTGTATGTGGAATTTATATACAGTGTGTTGATTGGAAACCTGCAGAACAAGAACCGCAACAAAATATCTGTCTGAAAATAAAACACAATTGTATGGTTATTCTGTTATTAATCTTACAATTATAAACTCGCTCAACATGGGTCACATTTTGTAAAATACGAATATCCATGGTTTTTTTTTGTTCACTTGCAGAGCCAATAAAAGAACTGGAAGATCAGACGTTGCCATGGACACGATGGGACCAACATACGCCAACACTTCGCACGGTTTACCAGTAGTTAGCCAGCCCAGCACTGAACCAACCCAAGCAGCCCCACCCGTGTACAGCCATAAAGACGCCCATTACGATCACGTGTACGCTACTCCTGATGACGTCACCGTACCGGGGGACGCGCCTACCAACCGTGATGATGGTGAGAGTGGTTGGGTTGAGAATACAGTGTACGGGTGCGAATCCTTTCCAATTGAGTGACGACAGAGATTCAATACAGAAATAACACCGCACATGCAGAACCACTCACAATGTAAAAAGCCTAAATAGATAAAGTATTACCAACTGTAAAGTAAATCTCATCATTAGAAACATAGTTTATCTTAAATTGGTTTTAATGTTCAAAGTTCCATTGAAAGGAATTTTCAGCTAAGCCTTTAACTATCATATTTTTTATATTACACTTGTCGCTGAATTAAATTGCGGCAATATAATACATGCACACGGACATTCAGGAGTACGCTTTCCGTTCGAGCCTTGCCTTGTGCCTTGTCTCATGTTCACAGTGCATTACTGCATATCAATATAGCCGCTCGTCACTTCATAAAAGCCACGGGAAATATACTGCTGTTAATCCATTTACATGCCAAATATGCGGTCTTAAGTAACACTACGTGGAATTTATATACAGTGTGTTGAACATTTCGACCTGTGCGTGTCATACATACAACAAACTGCATGGTGTCACCGTAATTTTTTGAAGGCAATGGACACCATTTGCGAACATTCAACATGAATCTGTCAAAATATCATGAACTATCAAATAATAGGACCATGCATCCTGTGAAATCATGAGTACAGTATGCTGTTATTTTTGAGAAAAGACTATCCTTGCGGTGGTTATAGGACCAAACCATGCGTCGAGAAAAATGAAAGATGCACATTTGTAGTTTTCTAAAAAAACACAAAAAAACCCAAAAACAATATCTACTTCGATGAAATTGCGACAGGTTATTTTTTTCAATAACCTGCTTCAGATTTGTTGTTGTTCCCTGAATCGGCACAAAAACATTTTTGTTTTTGCAAATGGTATCCATTACCTATAAAGTACGAAAAGCTGAATATGAGTCTCCCAATGCAGCTGGGAATAGCACAGTGGATAGCACAGTTATCTATTTCAAGTTGAAAGCGGTTACTACAAGTTCAAGTGTACGCTTAAATAAATGTCAATAAGCCTTTTGCGAAGATGGTGGACACAGTAGGAGGGCGCTATTTAGAGCCCTAAAGTCTTTTATCCACTCCAAAAGCACCATCCATGTTGTGTCCACACTCTCTCAAAAATGTTAATTAGTGACAAAGGTAAAAGACAATGTTCCAAAAGAAATTTGCCTATTCAAGGAACTATAATATAGTATACAGCGATGCCCGAAGCAGGTTATTAAGAGACTAACCTGTCGAAATTTCAGATCAGTAGATTTGACACTTTTGAGAAAACTGAGAAAATGCATAATTTTTCTCGACGCAAAGCATAGGTTTCCGTTGAAAGCATGATGGTTTGGTCCTCAATCGCGAGGAAATGAAGGGTAATTCCTCTTTTCTACCCCCCCCCCAGAACCGCGCCTGATCCCAGCAAAGGCATTGCCCTCCAAGATGGCTGCTACACAAGTTGTAGCAGTATTCAATGTCACCCTATCTAATATCTATCAAACTTGTTCAATGAAGAGGTATCGACAGTTATGTGGTTTAATCCATGGGGGTTCTGGCAGTAGGCGACAGGCCTGTACAAAAGCTATGGGAAATATTGTGACAGTTCCATCAGTATAGGAGGGCTAAGGGGAAGGGGCCTAATACAAATACATATCTTAATTTCTTCTTGCTGTATCATGGGCTTCAATCCTGGGGGGGGGGGGGGGGGGGGGAACAGGGGGACATGTTTCCCCCCCCACACTTTTTGAAGGGTGGGGGACACAATATCAAATGTCCCCCTCCCCCAGATTTTGAACTCGTGCCTCATTTACAGGGCCCTATTATGTATTACAATGTATCTTTTGCTTAGAAAATATTGGTTAAAGTGGTCAGAAATTGCCTCAGATCGCACCACAGAGCATTTAGAATCCAAAATAGGCTCCGAACCCCACGCCTTTAGCTCAGAATATAATAGCTTATTCAATGACAACCTCGAAAATGATTTTTAAATTATTTATCTTTTGCTGGGAAAATATTGGTTAAAGTGGTCAGAAATTGCCTCAGATCACACCACATGAGCATCTAGAATCCGAATTTTGTAGGGGCCCTTAAGCGGGCCCCGAACCCCACGCTGTAAGGGCTTCGCACTTCGCGCTCGCATTATTTCTGATCAAGGTATGTTCCCCCCCTACTTTTGAGAAGCGATTGACGCCCCTGTGCTGTATCAACCTGTACTCTGTGCTAACTAAATATGAACATGTAAAATATTCTTTTAAAAATAAAAGCCATGCAACAAAGTGTTTTAGGGATTCCATACTTAACAAGATTTTAAGTCTATTATGATTCCACGGTGTATTGAAAATGTAATAAAAACGCAGGGTAAACATTTACAAGGTCAACAACAACAAGAGTGTGAGTTTCTTATGCGCATCAGTCCCATAATGCTTTTCACGATGGCCTACGATGGCGGTACGGTATCAGTGCAATTTGCCACTAATTATATCGACCATTTTGTATTTCCAACATGCACTGCTCCACTTTAAATACTATAAGCGTTGTATCGAAAGTAATTACTGTTTACACAATTTGTTGAATTTCCTAACATCAATTTTCAGATGAGAGATCCGCTTTCGTGTTGGCACTTGACCGAGCAGGCCTATTGTCTATGAGTTTCGAATTGTATGCTAATTGTATCATAATTAATTTCACCGTTAATAAGCTGGCGGATTTTGTTTCGAAACAAGTCATTATGATGACAGTGCAAGTTATAAATCTTATAGCGAGCGTGTGTACAGGTCGTTCATTCGCTTCCCTGCATTAAAGGGGCACTCCAACTCGCATAAGGTTGTAGCCGTTTGTAATGACCGTTATGATTTATTAATAGAGTCCATCCGTAATGGTAATATAAGTGGTATATAATAAGCCTCTGTACTAATGACGTCACACTTTGTTTACGTGTGTGCTTACCTATGGTGCTCAGTGGACCGTGGGCCCCCGCTGGCTCCACAGGAAAGTGCACATGTAAACAAAGTCTGACGTCATTAGTACAGAGGCTTAGTTGATAAATGTAAGAAATACAACATGAATACGAAACAAATCAAATATTTAAAGCAAAAGTTACACGCAATTCTACCTATTTATGCAAACAATTGGGCCTCATCAGCAATCATTATACCAAATGTGAATTTCATTGATATGACAACTCAAATAAAAGCAAAAGCATTAATTATTATTTTGAAGAATAAATGGATACTTTGATGATGAAAGTCTGACCTTAACTTGTGATTAAAACGTTAGTACTGATCAGTCACATACAAAATCAATATTTCCTTATATTGACTATTCGTGACTAAAACAGGAGGAATTCCTCCTTTTTCCAAAAATGTCCGAAGTTTGCCGAGTTCATTTTGTCGACAATCGGATAGCGCCCGAGTATTTCCGAGTATAATATAGGTTAAATTAACTGCTATGCTTATTGAAAACTTTTTTAAAATGAGTTGATAATTAATATTCATTGCTTTCATTAAAAAAACCTTGAAATTCAACGACGATTTTGTGCGTCAAGTATAGTACTATTATATACTCGGATCGTATGGGAGAACTTTTTGCTGCGTCGTGTACTATTTTGAATTTGTCGACCGTTACCGAGATTTTCCAAGACTCGGACTTCATTCGGCTCCGCCTGCTAACAGTGCTATTTGGGTGCCTAATTTCAAAGATTCCTGATCAACATGAGTCAATGTTATATTACAGAAATATCAAACTGTATTATCATAACTGTATGATTACGAAGCAAGCGATTTATTTCCAAATTTGTTAAGAACAGTAAAAGCTGTAAGTGATAAAGCGAAACCGGAAACGAAGCCGAGATTTGAAAAAGGGCCCTCGATGTCGTCATGTTTATTTTTAGCCACGGAGGCTGCCTGACCTAGGATTCATCAGGAATAGTCAGAATCTTTTGGTCTGGGAACCAACCAGACTAGTGTTCCGTGACGGATATATCTACCCGGAATTAATCGTATTTTTCCTACTGCAACTCAAAACGACGAGTGTTTGACAGTCTCAGTCTAATCAAAGGAATAATCGGCGAGATGTGCAATTCTCACCTACAATTAGGGGACTAGGTCTGCATATGCACACATAGTAGTTGTGCACATATCAGTCATTGGCGGTGAAACATGGCAATGTTTCTACCAAAGCATCAGCGGGTTAGTGATGGATTATTGTCTGGTCGCCCGTTTGTTTTTACTCTGTTCACTGCAGCTTGCAAGCTTGTATTAGTTTTGTCGCAGCCAAAGAACGGTAAGCAATTTTAGATGTCTTTGGGGGCATGATAGGGTTGATACCGAATTAATTTGGGGAGAACTTAGGGTAATGTGGGGAGTGTGGCCTAGTGGTTAGGTTTCGTGACTCATGATCAAAGGGTCAGGGGTTCCAATCCAGCTACTGGCCATATGTTATGTCCTTGGACAAGCCACTTCATCCCCAACCTGCCTCTCTCCACCCAGGAGTAAAAGTGGGTACCGGCATCAGCTGGAGAGTAACCTGCGATGGACTAGCATCCCATCCAGGGACAATAGAAATATTCTCAGTCGTTTCATGCAACTAAAACCGGAGATAAACGCCGGCCTGATACAAGGGCGGATCCAGAACACAATTTTCGGGGGGCCAAAAAAAATTTTGGTCCCCCCAAAAAGTGGGTCAAATAATTACAGCGTGGGGTTCGGGGCCCGCTTAAGGGCCCCGAATTTTTTTTGGATTCTAGATGCTCTGTGGTGCGATCTGAGGCAATTTCTGACCACTTTAACCAATGTTTTTTTGAGGAAAAGATGGTGGTGTACTCATTGCCTGCCTTTATTGCGATGTCACATAAAAAAAATAAAAAAATTGGTTTAGTTTTTTTGGGGGAGGGGGTTGGGGCATGGCCCCCTTTGCCCCCCCCCCTGGATCCGACCTTGTTCACCCCCAACCTGCCTCTCTCCACCCAGGAGTATAAGTGGGTACTGGCATTAGCTGCGTAACCTGCGATGGACTAGCATCCCATCCAGGGACAATAGAAATATTCTCAGTCGTTTCATGCAACTAAAACCGGAAATAAACGCCGGCCTGATGGGCCACATTGGCTCGTGACAGACTTGACTTTACTACGTAGGGTAATTAATGGTACCCCGGAAGGCACGGATTTTTATGCCGGAAGACGAGTGGTGCTATATACAGAGTGGTACAAAAAAGAAAGAAACCCACTTTTGACCGGGATTTAACCTAATTACTTAACTTAGTTGAACTATTTTTTTCATAATATAATGAAGTAAAGCTCTTCAACCATACGTGCTGAAAAAATATCTTTTAAAAAATTGCAAGAATAGTGTTATTATGCTCATTTGAATAAAAGTCCCCAAAATCACTGTTGTCCGTGTGTTGTCTAGTGTAGTGGTTTTTTTTTTGGTCTTCAAATCGAGCTCCGGATCGAGCTCAGTCAAGCGGATTGAATAAAGCAGTCCGTGGACAAACAGATTTGGCATGATACATGGAATTTTTAAACTAGCATATCTCAGAGACATGCATTTGCAATCATGTTTTCGACACTTATGTTTAAAGATCAATATTATAATACCATTGGATTGAATTTTTGAAATATGCTCAACAAGTATAGGTGAAAATTGCTGTCAAAAGTGGGTTTCCTTCTTGTTGCACCACCATGTACAGTAGTCGGACCCACATACCCTCCTGCATGCAAAGAAGAGGGCCCAATGGTTCCAATCAACTGGCTACTTTGAACAAGTCTAATTAATGTAGGTGTCTGGTAATTCTTTATGATTGTAACATATTTCTTGGTAATTTTGGGACAGCCTAGAGATTTCAACACTTTTTACATTGCGGGTCATGATTCATTTGACTCCATAAATATGTCCCTAAATAGAAATGCACACACATCAATGAAGCGAGTGAACGTCCCGCCTACTTAATGGCTAATGTGAGGGACCCCTGAGACTGAAGCCACTGCAAGTACATGTACACTGTATTTGGGAATGGAACATTTTGGAAGTCACGGGTAGGTGGGGCCTGGGATGTATAGTTGTAGAGCAATTTGTGGGCCAAAACGGTCCGCGTCTTCCATGGCGTCGGTTTTTAATAATTCAAAAACCCCCAGAAATTACGGCACTGTTTTGCTTCTTTTTTTTTTAGCAATGAGCAATTTTAAACTCTTATGTATTAAATGTTCTGATTAAAGCCCCTGGTAATTTGGGATGCTACGAGGATTGTCATGGTTTTTGGGGTTGTAATAATCGTGCCCTGCCGATCGGACCAGTAGATAGCGACCATCAATCTGTGGAGTGGTGCTTTAAGCACTGTCTAGATGAGCTTACACCAAGCAACAAGTACGCGGGGCTTGAATACGAACACCAATGTTTCTGTGGAAATAACGAAAACTACGGCAGATTTGGAAAAAAGGCGGACTCTGAGTGTCAAGCCACGTGCACGGGAAACAGCGACCAGATCTGTGGAGGCGACAGTCGGATCTCTATATACAGAAGTAAGGTTTTAAAAATATATGTGCGCTGTTTTTATACTAAATATACCAGTGGCGGACCGAGGTGGGGAGGGGGTGAGTGCACTGAGGTGTTGAAAAAACAACCACCTCGAGCAATGAAGCCTCTAATAAGATGTGCAATATTTTATGACATTTAGGTCTAAGCAAAGAACGTTTTTGTCAGTCACCCTCTTAAAACAGCTCAGCTGCACAAACACACACACGAAGAAAAGAGAATCCAACTGAAAATTGCGTTAACGATCACCAAGCTATCTAAAAAATGACCTGATTAAACTTATCTTCACTAGATAGTCTGTCGGACTGACAAAATAGAATGTTGTACCATCGCTGTCAGGATGGCAAAGTTTCTCGTATCAGATTACAAGTAATATCATGTTATTTCAGACACCCTGTAAAATATCATCCTGAAAAATTCTTGTTTTGTACAATGGGTAAACAGTTTGAAAGAAAACTGCTAGATTATGGTGGAAATATTCGGTGTATTTTTTCCTTAAAAATTACTTCTTAAAGTTGATTACATTTCAGAGAATTGATCCAATTTCCTACGGATATCAATTATATACATACATTTCCCCCCCAATTACAGTATCGCAAGGAGTATGCAGTAACCACATAGGACCACCCACCAACGGAGACCACGCCATCACCAACCCGCGTTCACTGTCTTACAATCTCAACAACTTCAAGTTCTTCGGGACTCGTGTAGATTTCTCCTGTGACCCTGGATATACCCTCCATGGAGCATCAAGCATTGAATGCACTGAGACTGGCAACAACAACGTCGCATGGAGTCAACTGGTACCTACATGTGAAGGTAAATTTGGGAGCAATTTCATGGTGCTGAAAAGCAGGAAAGTACTGCATGCAAACAATTAATTGCAAAGCTGGCAACCAGTAACAAGAGATCACGTGACTTTTTGCCTGGTAGCCCGTTGTGGCTGATGAGCTAACGTTTTCTGCCTGAAGCAAATCCTTCTAAAAATTAACTACGATGACTGTGTGCATTATCGAATTCATCATACATTAATGCAGGCGCGGTTCTAGAACCAATATTTTGGGGGGCTAGCAGGGTGGATCCAGAATTTTTTTTCACGGAGGCGTGCTGAAATGTAGACCGGTTATTTTTTCCAGACACTTAGGCCTCCAAAAATCAATAGGTGGGTGGGGGGGGGGCCTCATGCCATATTTTTAATGGGGAGCGCCAATAAAATCCTAAAATCATTCATACTATATTAACTAATGGACCCTTTTTGTCACGATTATTTTTTTAGGGGGAGACCGTTCGCATGTACATCACAATTCTTCTTTTTGCTAATGCAATTTTTTTTTTACGGAATTTATTTTTGGGGGGCTAGACAAAATTGTGGGGGGCTAAAGGCCCCCCTAGCCTCCCCCCCCCCCCCCCGTAGAACCGCGCCTGCATTAATGTATCTAGTCGAAAATCAATGCAATGTTTATTTTATAAAGTGGAAAAAAATCCCTGATGAAAAAATTGGACTACCAATTAAAGATGGTGTGCTGACATGTTTTCGAGTTTCACCTCGAAAAATAGATTTTTTTTCCAATTGCTATCCTTGCACTATATATGTTGTTCACTTTCGAATGAGACATCGATCGAAAAAAAATCCACCGACGTTTAGTTGTTGAATTATTTCTCCACATAACTTGAATTATTGGCTGCCAGACAATAATTCGGCTCTCGCAAGGCGGGTTCATTTGTGTGCAAAATGAAAGCCATCTTTTCAGAGGGTTGCAGACGCCCAAAATTAAAAAAATAAAGTAGTGTTTTTAATAGTCAGAACAAAACACACGAAATGAACTTTTTTTTTAAGAGCGCGGGGTATAGGCGTATGCAACTTTAAGAACTAGTTTTTCTTTTCAATTTTCCTCTTATCTAAGACAACAGTGCTGAAAACTGTATACGTTTGCCTCATTTCTTAATCGAAGGCTTTTCCTGCACGAGTGCATGCTTGCTATAAAGAACACCATGTTAGGAACGGACGCGGGAATATGTTCAAATAAATCAAAGCCAAATAATAATTAAGTCAGTCTCAAGTATTGAACAATGACCAAGGAATACCTCTGTCATTTAAAAAGCTTGTCACTTGACTCGAGATCAGATTACTTAATTGGGATGATGTGACTGCAACTCACAGATTTCAAACATTTCACGTTTTTGAGTTCTTCCAACCACAGTGCCTACAACCACAGCAAATACACGGCTGTCCAATTACACGACGCCCAAAAGTACAACCCCATCGCAAACCAGAACTACAACCTCCACTAGGAGTAGCAACACCTTCCAGTCATTGACAGGATACACTACTGATGTCGGAACTGGAAACAACCAGACGACAGGAGACTTACAAACACGCACAACTGAGAGGACCTCCACAAACATCATACCTCCAACCTGGGAAAGCACATGGGCTCCTGATCATGGGAGGAACAGTCCTATCGCTGGAAAGTTAGGAACAGGTATGTCGTTGTTACAGCCCCAACTATAGTTTTGGCAGTCCCAACTGTAGTTGGGGCATTCCCAAATGTAGTTGGGCATTCCCATCTGATGTTGGGGCATTCCCATCTGAAGTTGGGGCATTCCCAACTGTAGTTGCAATTGGGGCATTCCCAACTGTAGTTGCAATTGGGGCATTCCCAACCGCATTTGGGGGGGGGGGACATTTTGGGACTCTCAGTACAGGAGTCCCAAATCTTAAGATAGTAAAAGCATGCAATACCAAAAAATACTAGCGCAAGAAACAACGTTAAGTCCAACACCCCTTTAGTACTGCATCAATCAACCTTGTCAAAAGAAACATCTCGTACCTAGTCTCGATTTCTACATTCACACCATAGTCATGCCACCAGACTACTGAATGGTCAATCTTGTCAAAAGGTTGGACACGTACCAGTCTAGTCTTAGGCTTCAAATTGAAATCACTTGACTTCACTCTCAGGTGCAAAATGTTGAAGAAAAGTCTCCTTTTAAAATTGACTGGAGACCTCAAACTTTTGGCTGGTGAAATACTGGGGACCTTGTCTTTGCCTCATGACAATTTTGGAGAATTTTGTCAGCTACAAATTGAGTAAAATTAGCCTGATTTAGTTTTGCGTGTTTTTCCGCACTCAAGGTCTAAGTCTGGGGCAGTCCCAGCCATTGATGGAGCAGTCTCAACCGCAGTTCCGGCAGTCCAAACTGTAATTGGGACAGTCCCATCTGTAGTTGGGGCAGTCCAAACTGTAATTGGGACAGTCCCATCTGAAGTTGGGACAGTCCAAACTATAATTGGGACAATCCCATCTGTGATTGCATGGGACAGTCCCTGCCGTGTCGTTTAAGACCACAATTCAGAAAAGCAATCATGTGACCGATACAGAGTAAACTTGAAAATACACCAATCCAGTTCCAGGGCCAAACACAAAGTCTTGCATTTCCGAGATTTGGCACTGAGCCAGCGGGTGTTTAGATTTTGGTGGATTCAGGCAGGTTTCCATGAAACAATAAAGGTTAAAGCACTTTGTATCGTTGTTATGCCTTATCAGTCATACATTGTTTAATTTTTCCCTACTAAATCACTGGACACCAATGATTACGCTAATGGTAAATATATGTATCATCTGTTTGCAGGTGAAGTTGCTGGAATTGCTGTTGGGGCCCTGGTAGCATTGACTGTGCTAATAGTGGCAGTGGTTTTTCTATGGCGAAAAAGGTAAAATGGCAACAATGATTTTGGAGTCAGGGCGCAAGTCGTTGCAAAAGTCCTAGTAGGCACTAACCGTTTAGTCCACGCTACCAATGTAAACTTTTTAAGATATGGGCCCATCTTTAAGTTTGCCCTTCAGCACGACATCTTTATAGCACACAATGAAAGCATTCGAACCACGTAATTTGTGTAAATTAACTAATACTTTCTTAGACGCGGTTGGTTTACTCAAACAAGCCATGTAAAAACTATTCCTGAACATTCTTGTGCACCACCTTAACCCTAAACCTCCAAGATGCTTTAAAATCCACCAGGTTTTTGGAGGATTTTGAAGGATTAAGGAAGGTAAATTCCAGCCACATGTATTACTTTCCATGGGCCCTTAAAATTTAAAGCACACCGATTGTGGTATTGAATGTGCCCCCCCCCCCCAAAGGAGGGGGAATGTAGTGGGGGTCGGCCCCTAAGGGTCACATTTTGTAATATTTTTGCAAACTTTTGTTTAGGAGCAGGAAGCCTAAAGAACAGAAGGAACCAGATATTGCCTTGGATACGGTTGGTGCCCATTACTTAAACCACACGTTCGCCAACCACCTCTCGGATACCAGCGACACTGCACAAAACCAAGGCGATCGCGACAGTGCTCCGCCTGTGTACAGCCAAGTCGTCAAGAGAAGACCCGCGGCCGCCGATGAAAGCGCCACACTTTCGGTTCCCCCTCAAAATGACCAAGACGGCGACAGCGGGTGGGTTGACAATGAAGTGTACGGATGCCAATCGTTTCCGATAGAGATCGAGGCGAGAAACAAAGATAGAGACGGACGACCAAACGACCAACCACCGATGACCATGGAAGGAAAGCCGGGATGGGTGGAAAATATCATCTATGAATAGTATGATCCTAAAGAATAACATCAATCAAAGGCACTAGAATCATTTGCATTTATCCCAAAAGTAGCATACCAAATTATTATCAAAAAGCTTACTTGGATGAAAGACCGTTCTGTAAATTTGCCTCATATTGGTACAAATTATTGACAGGCTGTGGTAGTTTTGTTAACCGAGGGTTTGGTGCCTTGACTGACATTGATAATAAGGTGGGTTCAGCGCTGGTGAGAACATGTAAATTATGGATTTAGTTAAAGGGAATATACATCATTTGCTTTTGCTGTATTTTTCAGAAATGGATGGATTTGGGGGGTTGGTAATATGTAGCAAATATTGTTTCAATGACTGTTTTATGTTTTGGATTCGTAGATGCTATGAAAAACAATCATTTTCATGTAGTCTGGTTCCCTGACTACATTTAAGATGAAACAGAGCAATGTTTAGACACTGGGATATTGTAAGGTCAGGGAACCAGTCTAGCAGGCCTGCACCCATTCATAGGTGTGTAATAAATTGCACTGAACAAATGTGGACTAACTAAATATGGTCAATTGTGGCCAGTACTGAAAACAGCCAGTTTATTCCAACGCTGGTCGGCCGACCAGCATTGGAAATTGATACGAAAATACCATTTTTCTTGAAAATGTCAGCACACCAGGTGCCATGGTTTTACAGGATGCTTTAGACTGTCACTAACCAACAGTCCAGCAAGGTATTTCAAAATAATTTGGTAGTTTTTATTTTTTGATGGTTGCAAATGTTGTATTTTCCCTTTAAGTAACGATGAATGCACAAAATAGATCACTCATGCATAACCCCAGCAAGGCGCGGTTCTAGATCCAATATTTTAGGGGGCTAAACCCTTCGCAAGTTATTTTATTTTATATATTCTGAAAATTGCAGAACAAGCCTTTGTTTTCGTTAAAGTTTTTTTTTTCTTGGCTGTTTTGGCATTTGCCAAACAGCCTTTGTTTTAGTTAAGTTACTTTTTTCAGTCATTTCCTATAGCATTTTTAGGCCTAAACGTTTTCATCATGCATTTTGGGCACAAAAATAAATCCGATTGCCTTTATACTTGGCACACACTTAGACTAGCACCTGCAGCTGTATGCTGATCATTGACGTCATTATGACGTCATCAAAAAGGAGGCTTTTGATATACATATATAACGGAATGTCTGACCGTTATGAAACTTGGTGGGTAGGTATATTTACTAGTATACAAAAACCGAAGTGACGTCATCAAGATGTCATCAAGTAATTTCTCAAGGCCTATTTTGACAGAGGTACACCAACATCGGAATGTGCAAACTATCAGTCTATATCGTGACCTGAATTTACGTCCATACAATTCTGAAACAGCCATGTTTGTCCACAAACATCTAGTTTTTAATAGCATTTGGGGGGGGGGGAAGGGCCGGGCTACACTAGAGCCCCCCCCCCCGAAAGAACCGCGCCTGATCCCAGCAAAGGCATTGCCCTCTAAGATGGCTGCTACACAAGTTGTAGCAGCATTCAAGGTCACCATATCTATCAAACCCCTTCAAACAACAGGTGTTGAAAGTTATGAGGTTTAATCCATGGGGGTTTTGGCAGTTGGTGGCAAGCCGGTTCAAAAGCCAGATAGGAAGTGGATATATATTTTTTGACGGTTTGTGACAGGGCTATCAGTTTAGAGGGGCTAAGGGGAAGGCGCCTAATACAAAATAAATATCTTAATTTCTTCTTGCTATGAATCTGTATTATCCGTGCTAAGTAAATGTGAATATGTAAATATTCTTTTAAAAATAAAACCATGCAACAAAGTGTTTTTATGCGTTCCATACTTAACAAGATTTTCCAAGTAAAGGCCTATATTACTAGGTGTATTGAAAATTTAATAACAACGCAGGGTATACATTTACAACAAAAGTGAGTACTTTCTTATTGGCATCAGTCCTAAAATGCTTTTCAGTTTTCACGATGGCCAAAATGGCGGTATATGTACCCCCCAAAAAAATGCCTCTAAGGGGCCATTCAGAATTTTCAGTGTTTTAAAATTTCGATCTTTTTTCCAAATTGTGGGTGGGTGGGTCAAGCTAAATAATTGAAAATCGAAATTCACTTTCCATGGAAAAAAAGATAAAAAAAAACAAAGAAAGATAGATCTTTTGACTTGCCTGAACTACGCGCAAACGTTCCGATATCGCGATGCGTGTTTCTTTTCCAACTTCGTCCCCTGTATGTACTGTCAGTGGCATAGCCAGGAATTTTTCAGTGTGTGTGTGTGTGTGTGTGGGGGGGGGGGGGGGGGGCTTGAACATTTCATGGGTGGGGGCGTCATGTAGATCAATGATAATTTTTTTTCTAAACTCAAAATCTCAGTGGGGGAGGCGACTGGGGGGTGGGCGACAAGGTTTCATGGGGGGGGGATGGCGCCTCCCACGCCCCCCCCCCCCCGTGGCTACGCCACTGCAGGTCATACAGTTAAAGTTTATGTAAACTTGTATGAAAAGTCAAAGAAAAGTAACTCTCATGATCTATTTGACACCAAGTTTGTGTTAACTTGCCGGTAACGCCCTAAAAAAATTATCCAGACAAATATGTTTATTTTGTAACATTTATGTTCGTCTGTCGGTCTTCTATGCTGTTATGTTTACTTTTAGGTACCTTCAATGGTACTATGTTTAATTAACCTGTTCATTTGTTTAATTAAACTAATAACGCACATATAGTTGCCAAATATGGCACTAACAAGTTTGAGGTCGGCAATTTCGTCTTTAAAAATCTTGGTACGTCGGGTTACCGTACACACAATTGTCCTGGAAACAACAGTACCAAAGTACAGAAAGTCGTACGCAAGAGCTCCCCAGCAAGTATCGCTGACGCCATTAGGCCTATGATTCCAAAATTTTTCGCTGTGTCACACAGTGAAATAACTAAAAAGCGTCGTTGTATTGTGGACACATAAAAGCATTCAAGTCGCGTTCTTGCACACTTTCTGCAAGTCGACTGGATATCCTTGAACCACTGCCCCTGCTTTGCATAACAAGTGCACATGAATAAACGATTCGACTTTTATTCAAAGAAATTTCTATGTACAGTCACCAGACTCTATTCAGTAAAGTCCCCGTCAAAACGAAAGTAAATAATCCACGTGCATAACGCACGGCTACACCATCGTACAGTGTGGCAGGGACACCAACAAGTAAAACAACAATTAAACATTTAACAAAAAATGGATAAATATTCTGATTGAATTTCGTTAAAAGATACTTTTTGGTGAGGTATCACATACTTTATCACATAAAAGAGGATGACCAACAACTTCACGCCGTCACTGAACTAGACACACATGTACATGGTGTTCAAGTACATGTACATGCAAGTGCATGTACATGTACAGTCATGTTCAGTTTTTTATTAATCGAAATTAGGGGTGGGTGGGTGGGTGGGTCAAAATAATTTTGAAAAAAGTCGAAATTTTAAAACATTGAAAATTCTGAATGGCCCCTAATATCGACCATTTTGTATTTCCAACATGCACAGCTCCACTTTAAAAACTATAAGCCTTGTATCGGAAGTCATAGCACTGTGTATAATTATAAAACTGTTTACACCACTTGTTGAATTTCCTGACATCAATTTTCAGATGAGAGATCTGCTTTCGTGTTGGCAGAGCAGGCCTAAGTTTTCGTGAGTTTCGAACTGTATGCTAATTGTATCATATTTAATTTCACAGTTAATAAGCTGGTGGATTGTTTCGAAACAAGTCGCCATGATGATAGTGCAAATAATAAACCTTACAACGAGCTTTTTATCTACAGGTCATTGGCAGTTCATTGACTTTCCTGAATTAAAGGGGCACTCCTTTAATTCAGTGATTATTTACTAAGAGACCGTCCATCAGTGATGGTTATATTACGTAAATTTGATAAATGTAATAAACATAACATAATACGAAAACAAATCAAATATTTAAAGCAAAAGTTAGACGTATTTCCAGCTATTTATGCAAACACTATAGCTTCAGCGATCATTATGCAAAATGTGCATTTAATTAATATGCCATAACTTCAAGAACAACATTGATCATAATTTTGAAGAATAAATGAATGCTTTGATGATGAAATTCTGACCTTAACTTGCGATTAAATTCTAATAATGAACAATCATACACAACATGAACATTTCCTTTTCTATCATAAAGTCTAGGCCTACGTGTGGATTAATTTGTTTTACTCTTTTGTTATTATGATTTATACTTTTATTTTTTTACGTTGTGTTGTCAATTTCGATGGGATAAGAATGCAGATATATTTGATTCCAATGAAATATCTTAGTATTCTCATATTTCTATTGGTGATTTATGGGCGGGATGGAATACATTTTCACAATACTCGGTGTAAATAAGTTATGGATGGTAACTTGTTACCCCCCCCCCCCCCCACACAAACAAAAACCCACGCTGCTTGAACTTTGGTTTTTGCATTGGCATAAACAAAACCATGACGTGTTCCGTGACGGGTATCTACCCGGAACCGAATCATATTTTTTTCCAGCTGCAACTCAAAGCCGCGGGTATTTGACACAGACTTGACAAAGGAAGAACTCATGATCAGAGGTTAGGGTTTCGAATCCGGCTGCTGGTCATATGTTGTGTCCATGGGCAAGCCACTTCACAACCACTTGCCTCTCTCCACCCTGGAGTATAAATGGGTACCGGCATTAGCTGATGAGTTACCTGCGATGGTCTAGCGTCCCATCCAGGGGGAGTAGAAAAATAAATTCCCAGTCGTTTCATGCTACTGAAACCGGTGATAAACGCTGGCCTAGGCTGATGGGCCACATTGGCTCTTGACATTGGCTCGTGCTGGGAGACGAGGGCCAACTGGTTCCAACTGGCCACTTTTAACAAGTCTCATTAATGTAGGTGTCTGATAATTGTTTATGATTGTAACATATTTCTTGGTATTTTCGGACAGCCTAGAGATTTTACTAACACTTTTTTACATTGCGGGTCATGATTCATTTGACTCCATAAATATGTTCTAGAAATGTACACACATCAATTGGGCGAGTGAACGTCCCGCCTACTTAATGGCTAATGTGAGGGACCCCTGAGACTGAAGCCACTGCAAGTACATGTACATGTATTTAGGAATGGAACAATCGCACGTTACGTCAGTCCAATATTTTGAAAATTGCAGAACAAGCCTTTGTTTACGTTAAAGTTTTTTACTTGGCTGTTTCGGCATTTGCCAAACAGCCTTTGATTTTGTTCAGTTATTTTTTTTCTGTTATTTCCCATAACATTTTTAGGTC